ATACATTATTTTCAATTTTTTTTTGCAAAATCCCTCTCGTCGAGCATTTATAAATATTTTGGAAGAGTGGATGTTAATTCTCTGGCTGTGAAATGGCTCAAAAGTGGAGAGAGGGAGAGAGTGCAAACTAAGTATTTTTGGATCATATCCAACACTACAATGAATATTCGCGTGTCCCAATTTTGTAGAATATTTGTTTATATGGCTTATATTCACATATGCATCACCATCAAGATCAATTTTTCCCCTGGGAATTTCATTGAGAAATGAGGCAAATGTGAAAATGAAGATCTTCGACGACTGAAACAAGTCATTTGGGCATCTTTCGCTTCCTGACTGACCAATTTGACCAGCTGACGTCAATCATTAGCGTGGCAATAAATTTAATTGAAGACTTTTTACACCCTCCGGGAGAGAACGAGAAAACGGCCAAGAATGATACACAGAAATCGATTCGATACAGTTTTTCGGTATCTCGAAAATCCATGAGTGACTGTTCCTTTTTTTTCTTCCATCCTCTCGCGAAAGTGTAGAAAATTCTTCGAGTGCAATGTTGAGTTACTAATTAGTGAGAAATTGTCGTCAATTTTGGCATGAGTGAGCCGTGAAAATTAGCCTCAATGAACCGCCCGTGAATTTTTAAGTGCATCCATCGAGATATTGGGATTACATTCAGAGCTGCAGCAAGATTTTGCCACAATGATTCGCGTCAATTCACAGTCATTCAGTCTGTCCAGCACTCTTGGCAGGGTATGTAAGACGGCTAAAATGCTTTTTGTGTCAACTTTTGATGTCTTCACGTGGAATTTTTGTCTTTCCCGTGAGATAAAATGTTATCACGTATTATTGCTGTTTACCTCACCTTAATTAATTTATTAATGTTTACAGTGTGGCACGTTATCAGTGTCACTTCTGTACATTAGCGTCCATTGTGGCGGCGACAATCAATCACACAGGTTCAAGAGAGAGCCATTTCGCCAAGTGTTTACTGGCGGTTGTGAAATCCCAAAAGGAGAGAGAGGTGACTTTGGTAAAGGAAAAAGAGCCTCTTAGAACCTCTCCCACTCCTATTTTCATCTCAGCATAGTTTTCAGTTTAATGTCTTTTGGTGTGTTGTTTAGCCGAGAGGGAAATTGACTGTGTTCGTTAGAGGCTGTTATTAAATTAAAATGCATGTGATAATTATCAATAATACCATATCATCATGTTCAAGACTCTATAAGGTCTGGCTAGTGAGCAATTTAATGCCGCAGAGACCGAAAGAGGGATGGAGAGATAAGTCCGATTATTCTTACACTTACTCTCCGAGTGACTCCATGATAAATTGAAGCTTTTTTTCTACGACATCCCTATGAGAAGGGAGGACAACTACTTGATTTATGACCCCGCAATTCCATGCAGGAAAAAAGACTTTCTGTGTCCTTCGGAGACATTCTCAGGTTAACAATATGATTAGACGTACTTAGAACTGTGGCTTAATTATCTCCAAGCACTATTATTAGCTGTTGTGTATTAAGGCGTGAGGCGATAACAAGCGATTCTAGACTCTCTAGAGCATATTATAAATACGCAATTTGTCATACAAAAATTACATAGATTGAGAACCCATTTATGAATGAGATCATAAATTACTGTGAAATATTTTTCATCACAGTTGTACAGAAGAATGTGGAGATTATTTTGAGACCATAATCCTTTCCTCCTTCGCATTTAAACTGACCCAATAATCCACTCAAAGAAAAGCTATGCTAATTTCGCATGAGTGTGACGAAAATATTCTAGCAAAAGCTGCTTATTAAGTGATTACAAAACGATGGTGGATTTTGCAAAAAGCCACCCATAACAAATTAGCTGTTGTCCCCTTGTGTGCCTGCTGGCGCAGCCATTATCGTGTCCATTGGATCATAATAATAGTTGTATCTGGAGAAGGCCTGAGGGGCTTCTATTACGATTATATCGACATAGTAAAGACAAATATTAGCGACGAAATCAGGCTCAGAGAGTATTTAGCGTGCTTAACTATCTCCATAATATTTGCAATTAGTGAATGAATTGCTGATTGGATCTTCAGCGACTCTGGAGAGCATGGAGATGACAGAAAAGAGGTGTGTTGCAAAATTGGCGTCTTGTGTGCATATTAACGATTGCACGGGATTCCGCGAGTGTAGTGAATTTTTCGCCTTCAACCACGTCATTCGCAGAGTGCTCAAAATCGCTTTTTGTAATTTAAATCACGTAAAGATTAAACCTTCTTTTCACCACCTGAAACTGCGACAACTCGAGAATCACACTTCTCTGGTGCTCTGGGCGAACGATTCACGAATGTGTGAATTATGAAGCCAATTTCATTTTAAATACAATATGTGTTAGTTTCAAACTCATCACGATTTCCTTTAGCATTCATGATATCGCGCACACGAATGAGGTGGAAAACGTTGTCGTTTTTTATTCGTATTCTCCGTACATTTCTTTATAGTTCACTTAATGGCTTCTTATAATTGCTAATTCACCAGTCAAAAATTCACTTCCAATGTTCTCTGGTGGGGAATTTATCTGGCAGAATTCTCTCTTAGTAATCGACTTTGCTGACGAGCACACCCAGAAATGTGAGACTCATGGGGAGAAGATTTGTGGTTTTTGTGTATTAAGAAAATAGAGAATAATTTAGAGAATCTTGAGCTGAAGAAGACGATAACTGACTGAAAAATTTGAATAGAAAGAGTCACCATAGAATGATGACACCAAACATGTCAGTAAATTTGCTAATTCAGCGTCGAAATCAAAAGTGTTGACTGGTTTTCCGATCCGAAAGGTCGTGATTTTTAACAGCCCCACATTTGCATAGTCATTTAGCATTTAAATGTTTCTATATGTATGAAAATATAATTAGGTGGCACTATGTTGGCGAATAGGAGGCACCTAAAATTCGCAAATGATTCCAACACTCACAGTTGGGAGTGAATGTGTGAAAAACGTGTTTGTTTCTCAAGACGTTTTTCTTTCTCTACCACAGTCACTTCTTGTGAATTTCATTTGCATACATTTTTTTTCTCTGCCAAGATGTTGAATCTCTTCTTTTTCGCGTGGCAAAGTGAATCGATTTCGTGAATTTTGTGGTCAGAAAAGGCCAAAAAATGACAAAAAGACAGTGTGGAATTCCAACGTGATTGCCTTCTTCTTATGCTAAGCAGCACCATCGCACATAGAGAGACATCTCTGTTTCTCTGAACTCCTCCTTATATACCCAACTGAATCACACTGGAAGTTGGCTTCAGAGAGAGAGAACTCTGTTTAATTTGCGACAGATAATTAACACAAGTGTATTTAGTGTTTATGCAAATATTTGCAATAAATGAATTAAGAGACGATGGAGAATGCGTAATTTGCTATTTTTGCACAAGTTACATCACTATTCACTTGGCCATATATAAGATACACACCATCGGCAGCTTTTGACCTCCGAGAGAGCACGATGAGCTTCCCAAGAGACATATTTCAAATTGTGCTTAGCAAATTTCACTGTGTTTGAAGGACTTTATCTCGGTTTTGTAAGACTAATTAATCGATTAACTATCCGACTTGTTCCTGATCATTGATTAATGAATTGTAAATCAAGGTTTTTCCGTTGGTCAAATTTCACCCCAAACTAAATACAGTATAACATATAGTACAGCTCTTACTCAATTTTTACGAGTGTGAGGTGAAAAGTTGTCTCATTTATTCATCATTGCAGGTAAACTTGCATCTTTGGTGTAATATTAGCAATGAAACAAGAATGTTGCTAATTGCATTTCCATTTAAAACGTCAATATCAATTTATCGGCTCTTAAACTCGCTCTCTATGCCTCAAAGATTAGGAGTCAACTCGCCAAGCATCAGTGCAGAGAGAGAGAGGAAATGATTCATGACCTGCGAGAGCAACAAGTGGTTGCGATGCAGCGTGCAGGAGGATTCTGGAAGACGCCACACTGTCTGTATCGCCCTCCTCTTTGACCCCTTGTCCCACTTTAAGTCCCCGCATGTTATTGTCCTGCGCACATGGTGAGGCAGCGGAACACAGTTCAGCCGCCTTTGGGTGGTCCACAGAGGCTCAGTGCTGATGAAGTTGTCCCCAAAAATTGTGTATCGTTTAATTGGATGCCGAGTGACTTCCACGGCAGTAATTAATTCCACGGTGGTTCTCTCCTGCGGACTGCATTAATTTGCATTCGTGGGCTTTTTCTGGGCTTACCGTGAGAGCTGCAGAATGCCAAAGTGACTCCCAATTGTGCGGTGGTCTTCATTTTTGAATGTGGAGCATCGCAATGCGGCAATTTACACTGTGGAAATGACGGAAATCCTCCGTGTGTGTGATTTCGCAGATCGAAGAGAAGGAGCTCCGTGACATTATCCTTCACGCCGGCCAATGAAATAATTAGAATTAAGTGATGTATGATGAACAGTACGAGTACGTCCAAGACAATCCCAACACACCACGTTGCTCAATAGCGACATTCCTTCATCGGATAGCGTTCACAGTTCTGCACGCTTCCTTCTTTCTGGAGCGTGTTTGTCACAACAATAAATACTCCAGCATCGATGAGGTTCGTTGGTGGTTGGGGAAATGTGACAAGAGTAATTAGTGCAGTTTTGCGAACACAAGAGTGTGTCTAGCTTTTGGGAGAGAAAAAATGGCAGTCAATCAATCAGTATAACTAAGACGGATTTGATGAAAAAAGTGATGGAGACCACCTTTGTCTTGTTGGAATTGTCTTATTTTCCCCCCATTGATTTTCAATTAGCACGGCAATCAGAAAGGAATTAATTTACACTTCACGGATTATTGAAATGATTTCTCATATCATGTGTGAAGAGCGTGAAGGTTATTTGTTACCTCGGAGCACTCGAAGATAGGATCACGGCACAGCCTTAAATTATTAGTAACAATTTAACGAATATATTCTAGTTGTGTGTGCACACAATTTTACTAATTTAATCACTTTTTCTCCCTCTCTTTGCAGAAGAACCACGAAAGCCAACCAATTATTCCAAAGTCGCAGTCGGTGAGTGTGAAAAAATTTGCCTTTTTAATGAAGGGCGCCTAGAGAATAGTATGGTAATCGTGAATTCTTTCACCTCTGGAGAGACAATAAATCAAGATTACTGGCATTTGGTTGGGTCTCATGAGATGTGTACAGGTTGAAAATGATTTCTCTAGAGACTGTCCATATCAATTACTTTATTATTCAAATTGAGGTGTCATGTAATTATTCTCTCTCTCTGTGCCTTCACCGCGCGTTGGAGGAAGTTGTGAAGACGTGCCTTATCTTATGATCTCCCAGTGATGAGTGGAGCGACACCCACAAGCGCTTTGGGTCTTCCCATCATCGCTTGGTATTTCTCGTACTGCAAATTACAGTTGATTAGTTCACGATACTTTGAGGATTGCCTAACAAGTCAACCTTTGAATTTTTTCTCCGCAAATTCTCAACCATCATTTCACGTCTCTTCAAACTCTCTAATAGTTTTCATGTGTTGAGTGAATAATGCAGAGAAAGAAGAAGGTTGTTCACAGAGTCCTTCAAACAGAGTCTCTCTTTGATCGACAACATCTAGACAGAGAGAAAGAGTGAACATTTCACGAGAGTCTTTTCTAACGAATGCCGGCAATGTCTTCTATTGAGAATGTTAGAATCTAATGGGCCTCTTTTTACCACACACTGTAAAAAATACCCGCGGAATTTATGGCGAGCCCCACTGATGGACATAAATCCCCAACAATTCCGCAACATTTGCAGAAGATCTCTCGTGGCGGTGAATTCAATAAAGAGAATTGCGAATGAGAGACAATATGCCACAGTCCTAAGGAAAGTTGGCATATTCAAATACGGAATTCATTGCCTCTTTTCACCATTCTATTCACGATAAAAAGAGAGGGAGAATATTGTGTGGAGGGTTATTTGCCTTTCCCATGAGTGCGCGATGGAGTCAATTGCTAAAGTGCTATGTTTCTGCAATGTTTGTCAATCAAATTGCCACACTCATGACACCCCCCAAGCCTTAATCTCATAGATCATTCATCCAATCCATGTCCGTGTTAACTCATAAATCAGTGGCATGAGATTATACAACATGTGAGAAATTCACTGGTTGAAGATTCATCAGATTAGGGGTGGTTGTAAAGTTCTTTCTCATTATCGCGCGCGCACGGAGAATTCAGAGCGTGGCAATAAAGGGAAAAGGTAAAAATCTGATCGGTAGCTTAAGGCATTCTTTTCGTTTATGAGATAAATTAGTGCTCTTTCGCGAAAGTCAAGTCGCGATAACAGGGCTTTAATGTGAGTCTCTCGCGAGAATTGCATGTAACAATAAATAATCGATAAATTCACGCGCCTTTGAAGTATTATTTTCTGTAACTTCTTTTTTATTGTCCGACGTTTTGATTATTTTTTTTATCTCCCCTCGCAATCGTACACTTAAAATGAAATTTATATGCAATACACAAGCTCGATAATCTGGGATGCTTTTCGCTGCATTGCTGATCTGGTATATAACATATATTGTCTCAAGCAGGTTTTGTTCGTGCCAATTCCATTCATATGAGACGTAATTGAATAAGATCGTTCATTAATGGAGTGCAATCATATGAAGTCAGAGTGAATGAATATTTTTATCATTTGTTTTTCATGTGAATCTCAATCTGACGCTTTTATTGCTTTAATTACAACATTTACACTCGGATTTTACCATAAATTGGTGGAATTTATTGGGTACAGAGAGTTAAAAAATTTTATAGCAAGAAGTTTATAGATCTGCATTTAAAGGCATGATGAAGTTTTGTAAGCCAGTTCGAGGAATTACTTTGACTTATCTTAGCCTAAAAGTTAATTTGTAGCACATTCTTTGCGATATTTTATAAGAATCCTGAATTTTTTCGATCTTCAGTTCCAATTTGCCATAAAAGACAAAACGTACAAGAAATGTCATTGAATTTTCTTTCACGGTTCAAAAGCCTTCAGGTTTTTTTTTAAAGCTAAAGACGCTTCTCAAGACTTTCAAAGTAACCAATCTTAATTATCATGTTCTGCTTGTTTTTCCACTCAACTCACAATGGATTATGACTTCTAATGATGATGTTTTTTCTTACAATACCCCGAGAAATATGATCCAATTCATAAGTGTGCCTCAAAGTGTGTAGATAATTAAATATTCAATAAGTCTCTTGAAGCACCTTTAAGCTCACATAAATCTCTGGACAAAGTCTCTGTGTGGTGCGCAAAATGATCTCTCCTTTGTTGATTTGCTTTGCGTCCGCTTTTGAGAAGAAGTCAGTTGTGAGGAAAAGAGGAAGAGTTGATATATTATTGAGACAATTTGCGGAGCATTGAACTTGAAGAGTTTTTACCTCGAAAGTGCTGACAAATTGTTCAAATAGGTGCATTCCTCTGGGGGGTGAAAACGCGGAGAAGCACTAATTGAAATTCGTTGCCAAATTTGTAAATATTGTGATGAGTCGTATTTTTTCTCACCTTCCTTGTGCTTATCCGTGCTTGAAAGATGTGCAAAGTGAAGGCCAGTCTGTGGAAGTGAAAGAGGTGTAAATGATTTTTTGCATTCAATTATTCCTTATCGCTGTGTGTCGAGATTGCAATAATTGCTGTACACTAACTTGTTTCAAGCGACATAAAATTTTATTTAATTGAAACAAACAGATGGAGAATATACATTGAGACTCTTAATTACATCTTGATTACCCTATAGGCGTACTTTTTCTTCCATCCGCGCAGAACTGTTTGCATTTCAATTTGCCGCTAGTGTGAGCACAATAATGGCAAAAGTGTAGCATTTTATTTTTACACTCTTGTAAAACATGCGTAGTGAATTGCTCTCTTGAAATATGTAATGTATTATGCATGTTATTGTGCGTGCTTTTTTCCTGACATTTTCACCCCATCTCCACAATCGTGATGGCATTATAAAAGACGACATAAAATGGATAATTTAAAATATACGGCTTATCATAAAGCGACCTGACTGGACAATGATGTTCCGCGGGAAAAGCTATGCGTAATGTGTTGATCTTGAAAGCATTGGCAGTGATGCTTTTCTTGCATAAATATCCATAATAATATCGATGGGCGCGCGTAATGATAAAATATTCTCGTTTGCGAATAGCGCAAATACAAATTCACGTCATGAGGTCGACATTTTGGTATTTTCGAAAGGCAGTTTTGATCGTGTTTTCACCTCTTTTGTTACACATACAAAAGTACACGGCGTAGATAAATCGCGGCTACTCCCACGCATTTGGGGGCTTTAGTTGGAAATTGATGGAATTTCTGAGTCACATTTCTGCCCCTTTTCGTTTGTGATAAATAATGATGAATATGCTCTCAAATCCACTCGTGTATTTGCACAGTGTTGGCGCGCTCAGCTTTGCTGTCAATATTCTTCTCTGGAAATGATTTAAAACATCAGCAGAAATTCCTCTGCCTCTTCGGCAAAATTAACAGTATATAGTGTTGGTTTATTTCATGTGCACTGAAAGGAAACACTTGAGAAGAAACTTGAGATTGATTAGAAATTGCTGCAGGTCAAATTTTGCGCGCGAGATATTTAGTGTTCAGACATTCGATTAACCCATCCCTTTTTTGACTACTGACTCACGCTGTCAGACGCTAAACGTCTTCCTTTCAGTGATACCTTTTGCTCCATATTTTACCTCCCTCCGTCGCCACTCCACTTTACAGAGATCTATCAAATAATGGTCTCAGTTTTTATACCATTCGAGAGAGTTCCCCTCTTAAGATCTTGACAAGATAAAATTTATCTTGTTTGTACGCGCTACCATTCATGATGAAATGGCTATTTAAGATAATCAAATAAATGATTGACATGACTTTGGTGTCCGCGGCGGTCTGAGAGCTCTGGAAGGCACAGAGAAAGAGAGGGAGAAGATGAAAGACAAGCCATAGGAGCATTCTTTTCATTTTCTATTCAAATTCAGAGCACTTCTTTTGCTGTTTGGCCGAAAATTATGACTCTGGACGTCTCTCAGTTTGGTAACATGGAATTATGTGGATTTTTATTTAATTTCCCAATCTCGATTTTGTACCTGTTTCTCACTCTTTTTCGACCATACTTCCATCGTGGCGTCCAGCATTTGAATAGAGCCGCGAACCTGCGAGCAATGATTTATGGAAAAAAAGAGTTCTTTTATATCCACACACACTTGGCAATTATCTCTTAAGATGTCGGGCTGATGAGATTCTATTGAAATTAGCAATTTTTACTTTATGTGGCGCGACGATGATATTCATGTTTTACAACACATTCGAGATTTCTTTCTGAGGATGTTGCAGAGAATGGACTTGAAAAGCCAACGAAACGCCACAGAGCGCAAGAAACTTGAATTGAGGAAGATTTGGTGTGTGGAATAAAAATAAATCTCAAGACACATAATCGTGTTTAGGCATAAAATTAATTTAATTTAACTGGATGTCTGCCTTCACGAATACTCCCCAAATCCCAATGGTCTTGTTTTCTCAGAGCGCCATGCGGAGCGCCAAAATGTATCTGGCGCGTCTGTATTTTTAATTATACAAGAAGTCCGCCACACGCGGCCAACACTGAGGGCAATTTTGGCTACATGAGCATCAATTTTCTCCACTTGCAGTTCCCGACAACGCTTCAGCCGAAGAAATCCTCAACCATCAGCCAAGCGACAGAGACGCTGCGCCTTCATTATGTCACGGAACGAATTTTGGCATCAGTTCTGCCACCCAGAACGTCCTCCGCGGATCATCGGCCACACAGTGAGAACAGCGTCGTGGCGGGCTTCGAGGAGGATGAGTACGAGAGGGAGTTAATAACAATGTTGGAGCAGAAGCACAACAAGGTATGGTATGAGGTTTTCCGCCCTTTCTGCTTTGGTGTATTTTAAATTCATACCAAGGGCGAAATTGCGATCAAGTTCAGAGTTTCTCAACTCCTGTGTCTTCTCATTCGCGTCTGGTGGTTTAATTGAAAACTTCCTCCTTGCCCTTGCAGAACTATCAGATGTTCGACCTGGAATCGTGCATAGCGACAATTTCGCTGGAGAAGCTCTGCGAGCTGTGCAAGCACATCGACGCCTGGTTGGGCGGTGGACGGGAGAAAGTCGTGGTGCTGCAGGACAGGTGAGTCCAAAATCTAACACCGCGGGCACTAATTAACCTATCAATTGCACCAGCGTGGCAGAATGTGTGAACACGCCTCGGCTCGTGAAGCCTGTGGCAAGCATCGAGCAAGTCCGTTAAAGTTATTAAGCGTTTTGATATGAAAATGTTTTCTCGGGCAAAGTGATTGAAACGAGGACTGAAATCGAATTCCATCGCGAGATGATGGTAATTTGTGCCTGATAGAATTGGATAAATCAACGCTGATGCCCATGAGACAGGCAACGATATTAAATTTCACGTCTAAGCGTGAAAATGATCACTTTTCCGACTAAGTAGAGGTAAAATCTCGTTCCGCCGCCTTTCAGAGTGTTAAAGCCGTGATGGCGGGTTGAGTGGATGTTGGAGGAGTTACGAAAGACTTTTGGAGTGTTCACCTTCATTTTGAGAGAGAATATCCACTCTGGCAGGATGCTATGTACATTTGAATTAACCTACAAGACTGAAGTATAAATAACGTGAAATACCAGATGTCTCGCCATGAGTGCAAGTGAGAGAAGAAGCTCTATTGCGAGAATGGAGGAGAAAGATGATGGTGCCAGATGAAAAACAGATACAGAGAATGATCTCCATGTAAACATTTCCGATTTACAGTGCTTTAAATCCTTTTCACAACACTTTGAATTCACCAATGTCTCTATTTTCACCTCGACAATCTCTATTGTTTCAAACCTTGAAATGATATGAGGCCCCTCTGTAAATATAATTATAGAGAAATGCAGACAGATTTAATGTTCCAAAAATAAAATTATACCTCTTGACATTTCCCGCAACACTTTTCCTTATTGCCAGTCATTTCTCTGCTGATGAACTTTCTGTGCGAAATGTCGATGGGGGAGTTCATATAGAGACATTCTCCACACACTCTGCGAATAATCGTGGTACTTCCGGAAGTGTGATGGAAAATGATGAGCAATTCATGTGGTATTTGGCGAATGTTAAGGAAAATGAATTTCCCTTTCATCGGGTCTCACACAGAGTGTGTGACTCATGGCAATTTTCCTCATAGGCTAATCATATGAGTGCGCATTTTTCTTGAGGGCAACTCGCGCGTGCGATCGCATGATTCACAGCCAGAAGATTTGTGTGATTTCCTCGAGAGTGACAAGGGAGAAGAAGAGTTGTGGCAAAAAGGCACAGCGTTTAGAGATGCAGATCTAATTTTAGGGCTGAGAGAGAAGGAGATATTTTAATAAACTCAAGAATAGGTTTATTCATTCTCAATTACAACTTTGCAGTGGGGACAGAGTGGGAAGTGAAAGAGAGAGGATTATCAGGAGATATATGTGTATGAAAGGAAATGGAAATATGAACCAGAGATGCGCTATTGTTGACATGGTAACTTTTTCACTGCATTTCTTGCACAGATTTCATGGAAATAAACACGGTCTACGTTCAAATGATGTAAAATTAAATACTTTATCTACACTTGTACTGTAGACAGTTCTGAACATAGCTCATCCCTTTGAAAGTGATACAAAATTTGAGATGGTCGAGAGTCTCATGAGATCGTCTCTCTCGTCAGTTGAAAAGCTGACGCCGAAGGGAAAACTTGTGGCAAAACCATCAACTTGTTCTTGAACGATTAACAAGACTTACAAAAGAGCGTGTGATTAAGAGTGTCCGCGTAAGATTAGACATATCATGCGTGAGATTAGAAATTGGCAAAAATGACAACAAAACACGTTAAGAAGTGAGCGGAAAACAAGCTGCCCGAGATTTAATTCGCACAGACATATTTTTCACTCCAATTAATCTTGATTAATAGACGTGTATTTTCGGTTGTCTTCCAGGGGTGACCGACAGCGCTTGGGAGCGGCGATTGCAGCCTATTTGGAGTATCAGAAAATCTGCGGCAGCAACTTTCCCAGTCGCTCGCTGAGTGAAGATCAGAGGATAGCGCGCAAATGGCTCGATCTCGACATCTACTCCATGCAGAAGTTCATGGAGGACGTCGTGGGACCATTGCGCGTTCCGTCTCATCGGCGCTACCTTCAGTACTTCTCTGGTCTGTTGTCGGGCGGCATCAGGATGAACTCATCGCCACTATACCTCAAGTATGTCTCTCTGGAATCACCGCCGTCGTGGCTGCACTACAGCAGCTTCGCGTCGCAGAATGCCGAGTGGCGGTGCTTCGTGAAGGTCTACGAGGGCCTGAAGTGTGTCTTCACGTCGGACATCCATGTGATTCCCTTCGCCACGCGTCAATTCATCTTCCAAGTGGGTCACTTGCGCCTCCGCGGCGACATTATCCTGCGGTGCTACCAAATTGTGCCTCAGGAGCATCAGCCCAGCGTTCGTGAGCTGATGTTCTCCACGCAATTCCACACTTGCGCCATCGGCAACAGGGAACTGACCTTCCTGAGGCATGACCTGGACTATGCCTGTGACGGTGAGTATGTTTGTCTGTCCAGACAAATGAAGAGAAACTCGACCTTGATAATGATGTAATTTAAAATAATTAGAGGAATCTTTCGGGATGATCTCTTTCTCTCTTAATGTGGTTTCTCGAGAAAATTCCACGAATCACTCAAGACATAATCCCAAACCTAATCAATCATGGGGCAAATTTGCGGAATATGATTAGAGAGCGTCTTGATTAATGAATTTCCTTCCTTCTGCCTTTCAGATCCACGCTTTCCAGCTGATCACAAAGTCGTTCTTCACTTCAACAGCGGATCACCGACCGAGAATCGGGGCTTCGTATTCCAGAGTCCGCTGGTTCGCATCGAACCGGCCAATGCATTAGCCAATTCGGATAGTCTGGAGAATATTAATGAAGGTGAGTCTGAATCTTGACCACTCTACGAAATTACACTTCGGCCATTAGAGCGCGTTGTAATTTCATTTCACTCTCCCTCTTGTCCATTGATTGCGGTCGGTATTTGGCCAGATTTATGCGCCCAGACACTTTTCGTGTGTGTGTAAAAGGTGCGGCCACACAGTTAATTTCCCCATTTTCCCCGAAAGAGCATAACTTGAACTGATTTAGAGAGCTTCTCAGAAGACGACGGAGTGAGAAAATTACTCCAATTTCCAGCTACTGTGCGCCAAATGGGGACGCGCCTTAATATTCAGCATGAGTCTGTACACTATAATGTTCGATATTGTGTGGTTTCTAAAGGCCTAAAAGTATGCAGAAGGAATTCAAATAAAACGACGACATAAGATAATGTGTCATAAACAATAATTCTCGACACCTTATATATTGAATTTCTGCTGACTTTTAGCATTTGCGCGGCTATGAACGGTCAGAGGAGACATTAAGTTAATGCACAAGAAGTGAGCACGCGCATCGTCTTATTGGTATTAGGCCTATAATGCCTCTAAACGCGAGAAACACGCCATAGACTTTGATTTATGTAATAACAGACCTTTACAAATGGCTACAAATCACAAATCTCAAACATTCTTCTGGAGATTTTCATCAAAGAAAGTGTCACTTAATGGTGTTATTATTCACATTGGAGCTGAAGATTAGTGACACAGTGAAATATTCAGTGACCAGTGAATTTTGTCTGTTACTAATGATGATTCTCTTGGACATTGGCGGGCTCTCTTCGCGTGAGAGACAGACTGTTGGAGTCACGGTGTGAAGATGTAAAGGCATGTAAGCCACATACGCCCAAAATAGATGGCTTTGAAAATAGGTAAATTTAGCTTGCAAAGTGGTTAATTTTGGCCCCAAAAGAATGACTAATTAGAGTCACTCCTTTTTGTCCCTAACAATCACGCGCAAATCAAGAAAGCCTCACCTTTTGGCGGGATTTTCCACCCAATCGCATTTGCGGGACGATGATGAAGCTCTCAAAGTTCAAGAGATTTTCGTGCTGATGAAAATGTCCGTGTCGTAGAGTTAATGAACTTGTTCGATAAATCAGTGGTGAAATAGGCGAGATTATGTTCCTCTCTTCGCTGGGGCTTTTTGTGTGCAAAAAGAAAGGAAGGAAAAAAAGCGAAGACACGATAGAACATTGAGTGAAATCAAAGAGAAAGAGCCAAAAGGTAGAGGCTGACGTAGTGCTTTATCATGAGGCTAGAAATAGCGACAGAGAGACCAACACATGTTTTCCGGTTTGTTTGCACAGATTGTGCGCTATTTTGATGGCGGGAAATTGTCTGCAGATTATTCGGCAGAAATTGAAACCATAACTTGCGAGTGTCAATTTTAATTTCTGGACTCTGCGATGCTCAGATTTCTGTGAGAGCAAATAATAAAATCAGAGGTGTGAAATCCTGAGTCAGGAAGTTATGTTATTTATTTTAGCATAAATATAACAGAATTACATCACTCTTTGTTGTCATATGCTCTATCTCTCTGTGAATTTCCGCTAAAGAGATAGTGTCATCGCATTTCACGTTGAAAATCCACACCGATTTGTTGGCTTCTCGATATTAGGCTTATCGTTTCAGTGGAAATTTCGTGAGGAAATTGATTCTTTGCTTCGAAAGAAATAAGAAATGAAAGCGAATTTTGAAATTTTCTTCATGATTCTCTGAAATGATTCAGTTTAACTCCCCAGAGTGAGATTAAATGGCTTGAGATGTCTGATTAATTGGTAATCAGTGGGTTGCAAATGTGTCTCTTTTCAATGGGAAAGAGAGAGAGAAAGACTGTTGGTGGACGATTTCGAGAGGAAATTTGTACAACAAACTCTCAACGTGGGCGGAAGTTGGGCGCCTCGCGTAAAAGAATATCCCTCAGTTTGTAACCGTAGCGCAATGTTGAAATGATTTCGTGCTTAAAGTAGGAAACTTGATGTCTGATGAAATTTATCCTCTCATTGTTGATTTTTGCAACAATTTATCCAAAAAGCCTCTGTGAGCGGTTCAAGAAGGTGTCGCGAGTGCGATGTATCCGATCTTTGGGCGCAAGATCATCTTACTTTTTTCATGCGTGTGTACCTCGATGGTGCGCACGAAGCGCCGTGAAATGCTTCGCTGGCCAAAATTAGATGGTCAAGTGTGTCTGTGTGCGCGGAGTCTGGCGGATGCGAGTCCAGAGAATGGTGTCTTCTGCGTGCGCGCGCGAGGATCGCTGTGGGGGGATCGCGAGAGACACTGACTGACGATCTCAAAATAAATATATATTTTAAATGGAACTTGTTTTTCGACCAGCAGTCACTGATCAGTTTGCCAGTCGTTCGTGTCGCGAAGCCTCGTTCCAGATTGGTTCATTCACCAAAATTTCACGAACGGCCTCAAAGCTCTTCTGACTCTCCGCGGAACAACAAGTGCTCGGCGAAGAGATCCTCCAGCTCTCATGAGAGATCTCTCTTCATCTTTGTATCCTCTGTGCTCGTGCCAGTGCGCATAAATCACTAGAAAGTCGTGTCGAAATTTATGCGAATTTGAGTGATCTTGAGGTTTTATCGACAGTGTGAAGACTTTTCGCGTGCCATAAGGTGCTCTTTGATGCTACAATCCTAACTTTTCGCATGATCTCACAGGCCATCTGCAAAAAATGACCGATTACACAACATGTGGGGAAATATTTTTGTACTTTTCACACTATACTTTGGGCTAGATTTCTCCGAAAATCAGTGCTTGTGAGAGGCTTAATTGTAATTTGTGACGACGAGGAAATGCCACAAAATCAATTTCCTTCCCATTAATTGCAAAGGGTCAGAAAAAGTGGTGCAGCTCGTAAAAAGACGTGAGATGTGGAAAAAGGTTATAAGATCGGATTAAGATATTCAATCCGTCAAGATGTTTCACAATAAAATGCTAAGATCTGAAATTAGAAAAGTTTCTAAAATGTCGAGCGCTATGAGACGAAGACTCACGCAAAGAATAGTGAGGCAGTATGATATTCATTTGTGGAAAATATGAATTTTCACGGTTTTTTGTCTGATGTGTAAAATAAGAAGAAAAAGTGAATAATGGCAGGGAAACTTGAACAGAAATATTGTTCACAATTGCTGAATGTTCCTCAATTTGCGGTACATGACTGTGCAGAGACGCTTAGGAAGCGATCTATGGATCTCTCGAGTAGACGAATGAATATTTCTATGAGCAGAGTCAGGAGAAAAATCACGGCAATTAACTTTCGTCCACTGAAAGTGGGATTTTTATTATAATTGTTTGACACATTTTCTCTTTATTTATGGCCAACATATGGTAAAGTCTGCATAAAATCCAATTTCAATTTCAAGTTTCCTTTATCGCAAGAATCTAGAGATAACAATGTGCAGCGGAATTGTTGGTGGTCTGACGTAAATTTTCTCACATTCAATATCGACCTTCGATCAGTGCTTGATCGATATATAATGAGACAAATTAAAGCGTAATTCTTTCCACTGGAGCTTTAGATAATACAACTGCGATTCTTAATGATTGAAGCCGCTCGAAAGTATGACATTCTTAATACCAATTAACCCAGTGCATGATGGATTTTTAACGCTCGCGCGATGAACGCGATAAACATGTGAAAATTGTTATTTTTCGGGGAGGCGCGTTTGTCTGGACTGAAATTATACACTTTTGGACTCTTCGGTGGAGTCATCTTCGAAAGTGTATGGATTCATCGTAATTGCCCCACAATTTCCAGCGCATGTTCTGCAACTTGTTTAGCATTTTAAATCGATAAATTGCTGAGTGTGTGCTTCAATTTCAAAATGACCAGTGAAAAATGGTTATTCCTCCAGAAATTTTATCACCATCCGTTCCGCCAATTGTGCATTGCGTGCCAATTGCAATAGTTTCGAGTTTAAGTTGATGATTGAGGCCAATAATACCGCAAGGATTAAGATATTACCAGAGAGCGAGCGTTGCAAATGGACTCTGGATAAAACTCCCATTATCATTCTATGTTGGAAAGCATTGCAAAATCACTTAATATATTCTCCCACTCTCGATTGAGTCTTGTGATATTGACTTTAGCACATTCCGAGTGAGATTTTCAATTAATTTTTTCCCCTCTTTGATCATTTCAGCCGCGGCGAAACATCTTCAAGGTCCTCTCGATGGTTCACTGTATGCCACAATACTCAAAAGTCCCAAATCACCGCAACACAGTCCGCCACAGCTGAGTCTTTCATCCACACCCGCGAAGCCCATTCGTGCGAGTTCACAGCAAAACCTCATTTCACCGCCGCCAGAGTTCAGTTCGCCCAAAATCATCGTCTCCGCCCATCACAGCAACACCAGTCAGGCTGTGCGCAACAGCACTCCCGTGCCCAGGAAGGAACCTGTCCACCAGACCATCCCCAGAGCCTACAGTCAGCCGCCGGCGAGGAAGCCGGGCACGCCGCAGCCACCAGAGAGGCACTCGTCCACGCACGTCGTGCACAACTACCCGCCCAACCAGACGCAAATCCGAGTGATCGAGGAGTATAGGTACAAGACTCAGGACGCGGCCAACGGAGGCGCTCCCGGCAACAGCAGAGCTCCGGTCAACGAACACGATGGACGAGAGTCCGTCCGCAGTCCTCTGACTCTGTCCATGGACTCTGGCATCTCGAGCAGTGGAGTTGTTAACAGTGAGTGCCTTTTATCCTTCAATATCTAAATCATCGACCGCACTAAGATTTTATGACTTCGTCAAGTCAACATAAAAATCGGCGCTATCAAAGGGGAGATTTTCATAATGACACTTAATTAATGAAATATTGGCATAACGAATGGGAAGAATCGTAAAAATGGCTGATTATCGAATTATTGCTCCTTGAATTTTAATGAAATCCACACGCAAATCCTTTCTGTATACACGCTAAGTTATGATAATGTGAAATTCATATATTTTTCGGCGAACTGGTTTTCTCGTCTGATTCTGGGCACGAGTAAGAAATTCACACAATTAAAATGAAGACTCCGTGGAAGCTATAAAGTGCAGAGAATCTTCGTGAAAATCTGTTATAATACACAAAGTCTCTTTTTGTAAACCAACTTATGTATGTACTTGTTTTTGTTTCTACTTGAAGGACGTGTTCAAGGATCGAGTGTGTCACCATCGAGTTTCCCCAGTCAAGCCAGCCCTCAAGGTGAATAAAAAGCCTTCCACACTCTCTCTCTCTCCTGGCACTGTCTTTCTCTCAATTAAAGTTTTCCTCTTGGTAAACAGGGTTTTTTAACTCATTTTCATTTTTTCCGTCTCTTTTTTCTGTTTCATTTTGGCTGTGGGTGTTTTCGTGAACAGACCGCCATCGTGAGCTGGATGATATCTTATCTGATATGTTGATGACTGTTCAAGATATCCCGGATATCAGTGGCAATAGTGTTAGTCAGCAGCGCGTGAAGAGAGTCCAGCAGGTGCCCTACAGTACGTCCACAGTGAAGCGCTCGCCGTCCGCGAACAGACCAGGCGACAGTGTCACTACGAAGGTGCCCAGTGGCGGCGATCCGTACGACACCGCGAGCACAGCCACCACGCTAACGCCTCCACCCAGCGAGAGTGGCCGAGAGACACCCATAATCGTCAGCGGCAAACGAAGTGTGGATCTCGAGACTCAGAGCGATAGCGCACTCGTCATGAATTTGCACAGTCAGTCGTTTACGTATCCGCAGCCGCAGCACACGGTCGAGCTGATCTCGGTGACTTCGGACGAGGACGGCGAGAATATACCCTATCACGCGCGTGAGGACTCACGACCCTTCACCTACGGCAACGTGAGCCAACAGGGCCCGCAGAGTCCGCCCGCGTCAGTCATGCTGAAAATGCAGTCTGGGTTGAGCAGCCCGTCGCTGGTGAGGAAGCAGCTCAACCAGCAGGGTCACCGCAAGACGCCCATCCGGAATGATTTCGAGGAGATGCTGAGGGAGCGCCGCGAGAAGGTGAGCGGCGAGAAGTACTCAATCAGCGATCGCACGCCCAACGGCGGCACGATGAGGTCCTACCATACGACCTCCACCAGTCCTGGCGGCTACACCACCACCGAGACACGGTGGTACAGCAACGGCTACCACGAGCCCCTCAAGAGGTCCAACACGATGGACGGAGGCTTCGGCAGGAGCACCAGCAGCGAAGGGTGAGTGCCTCTCAATGACCAATCAATGTGATCTTGCGTGTGTGTCACCCACGAGAGACCCTGACGAATGCCAAATTGTGCGTGTCGAAGCTCACATGGGCGTCAACAATGGATTTCCCTTTGCTGCGCCACGGAAGATAACGCACTTAAAAGTTTACAAAGTGTGATTTGACAGTGAATTATGTTTGCGCGCTCACATCCCAAAAATCTCACCCTCGGGCGAAGCTGAGTTTTTTTTTCTCTTTTGTCCCATGGCTAATTTTCTATCGCGCGCAGTGCCAAAATTTCACGCGATGTCTTGGCGCTCAACATACCTTTTGCAGAGTAAAAAGTGTAGATTTATAGCATAAATTAGATACATGTGTGATACACAAAATAGCTCTCAAGATAAAAATAGTGGCAATTCTGAAAATTGATGGTGAGGTGGGTGAGAAGAAATTGCCAAGAGTGGGATGGACAAAAAAGTTGTCACGATTTCAATTTTGCTCAAAGAGTGTGTTTCTCACACAAAACACAACATGACTTTCTACTACTTATTTCGTTACTTTTTTGCACGCGCGCGCGTCTTGCACTTTACGCAATTTTACTCCCATCCATCATCAATGTTTTTCAACGATGAGAATGGAATTCTGAATTATTTAGCGACACATTTAAGGCAGTGTCTTGTGTTGGAATTTTTCATTGGGGTGTTTTATGCTGTTTTTGTGTACAATCACAAAATTTTTCAAGTATTTTTTTTTTGCCATTCTAAAGTGATAAGTCAAAATTCTACTCCTCAAGTGAGAGATGAATTTCTATAAAGATTCCCAGCGCGGAAACATGTTGGATCGCGTGTATTTCACTGCGTGAAGATCAATCTCTTGAGAGATCCATGAGAACTCTCTGGCTGTTCAACCGCAGCGTTTGGATGCCACAATTGATGACTGGCTTGATTGTGTGGCATTTATTGGTATGATTCTCCATCTGTGGAGTAAAAATTACTTTTCTGGGTTATAAAATATCAGTCGCAAAGGAGTCAACCACATGAGAGATAGCTCATAAGGCATTCACTGTGCGCGTATGCGTTTTCACTCTATAGCCAAAGAGAAGCGAGCGAGCGCGCGCGCTCGCGAGGGGGGAAAATTGTGTATGGGATTTTGAAAAGAGACCCAAAGAGATTGAGGCGCCGAGCGCACATGTGTAGAAAATAATTAATTACGATGATTGCAAGGCAGGTGGATAATTGCTTTTTAATCAGACATGCTGGTGACGCTGCAACTCATCGAACGGTGTGACGATTTCGGGGAAATTTCTATGCGTAGGCGATGGAATTCACCTGAGGAAATTCCTCATTAGTGACTATTATGTGACCCAATGGTAACGGTGTCATGACGTGAATTACGATCTCACTATCTCACCGTCCAATTTGTTCGATTGTATGCTCTCCAATACCTTTTTTCCACTCCTTTCCTCTTTCTCAATCCAGGTATGACTCTCAGGCGAAGAGACGAAGATGATTTTCGGAAGCCTCTGGGGATGATTTTTCTCTTGTGTTGACTTCTTCTTGTGCGCATTCGCGCTGACCGGTTGCATGCGTGAGAAAGATGATTTGATTGAATGATGGAGTCTGACTAATAATCCTCAATTGATCTTCCACTGGGGCGCCTGTCCACGAGTCACATTGACGAATGAAGATATCAAACGTGTTTCAAAGAGACTCCACACGGCCATCGAAGGCGCATAATATGCACAGAAAAGAAATTCCTCTCACAGAAGCCAAGAAGCTGCACATGAATCTGAACAGAGTGAGAAGCGCGGCTCTGCTATTTAAATTTATTCAACGTCTCCACAAAAGCCATGTGATGAGTGAGACGAGGTACTCGCACATAAATAATCACGCGCAATCCTCTCCAGTCAGCAAGAAGAAGATGTCTTCTAATGATGTTGCACTTAAAGCTGCGGTAATTGAACAGTCAATTGATAGGGAAATTCCGCGCGACATCAGATCACGAAACACCTCACCAGATCATCAATAGACATGTCCATAATTAATGTTTATCACGCACTAAATAAGGTGGAAATTATCGATATGTGTGGGCAATTAAAATAGTTGCTCAATACTTGTGTAATTCCTCCAATTCTCCCTCTCCCGCTCTACCATTCATCCATGGGAATTATTTGTTAGATGACAGCGAGAGATCGCATTTGCATATTTGCCACTCAATGGAAATCATTCATGGATACGCAGGCAGACGGAAAGGAAAATAATAATAAGTGCTGCGGTATTGCTATGGATTTTGTATAAGGAAAAGACACATTCTCGTGTATTTGCAAGACACCTACTCGCACTGACGTGGATTTCCTCCATGTGTGTATATAATAAAAATGAAAGAAATACCAGTAAATTAACACCCCCACAGAATCGTCAAATTTAGCATTTCCATCGCAAGTTGCTGAGGGGCATTGAAAGATCGCTTCTTGCCATAATTTCATGGGAAGATGATGAGTGTAATTTGTAAGTTTGAAATTGCTGCCATCTGATCGCTACTGATTGTGTGTTCTCAAGTACAAGAGTGCTTTTTAGCATCCCTAAAAGGAAATCTCACTTATTTCTTGTCGCGCGGCAAACTAATTGGATCGGACAGACAACCTAATTTGATTCTTATGTAAAATCTCAGGCCGATGGCATGCAATCAATGCTGAAGACAGCTGAAAAATCCGCATAGATGTTGCATGACTCATCACTCGCGGTATCTCGTGAATCAGATGCACTGAAAGGGATGTATTGATTGAAGCCTCTCTCGTCTGGGCGACGCTGAGGAATTTCTGTCGCAACAAATCGAATCGTAATGATGAGCAAGTGAAGGTGATTTCTTAGCAGATAGAATAGAGACAATATACTTTTTTCTGCTCCATCGCATAATCGTCAGAGAGCGAGGATAAAAAAGGGGATTTTGCTCTACTCTATTCTGCATACAATGGCACGATAAATATTCTCCTATTCATTTGCGGGGAGCAAAAGGTCTGCAACATCATCAAAGCACATTGGGAGACGATGAGGAGACAAAATAGAAGAGATAAACGAAAATGCGCGCCTCTTGTGGGGAAATTGTCATGATAATTCTCTCGTACAAAGTGTCTGATATTGTTGGTCTTTTCTTCATTGATATTGCGCCCCCTCAACCATTACCGCGCGCGTCTACTCTCTCGAGAGTTGGGCTAATTATAGATGAGATACCACAGAGAGGAGTGAGAAGAGCTTTGAGAAGTAAAGAGTCAATTACTGACTAAAGCATACAATAATCCACCCACATGAAATTTTCACCCATCCGCCTTAATGGTATCGTCATGTGATATAACAATGAGCATTGAGCGGAGCGAGAGATAAAAATTGCACTAAATTGGTAATAAATAAGCGACTTTATAAGCCACACTCACACATCAGCCTCGTTGGAGGTTCGCTCTGTGGCAATAAAGGCGCAGTTGTGAGGTCAGTGCCAAGGTCGTGGCTCAATGGAGACATTGGCGGATGGAGTGGAAGAAATTTCACGAAAAACCCCGCGAAAGAAAACCGGTCCGCAGCTCTTCATCATGCTCATCATCATTGCGCCCAGCATCCAATGAATCTCTCGCGGCGAAGACGCGCATCCAAAAGAATGTCGAGCGATGCATTTTTGCTCCACATTCGTGAAAGTTATTTGGACACGATGCCGAAATGGAATATTTTTTTTACTATCACCGATAAATGCGCACGCAAGCCTAATTTGGAATCCAAAATCACAGAGTTATGTTACTTTTTCCTATCGAAATAGTCCTCCTAATGGAATGACAAATGTGAAGCGCGGAATTTCTTGTGTATATTGTACCTGAGGACCGGCACATGGGCAGTGGAGTGGTTATCTTATCTTATCGCGTGAGTTTTGGTACAAACAACACGCGTGAGAGAGTAAAGTACATTCAATATTTGGCGATCGGAAATGTAAAATAATAAAAAAAGAAGGGTGAAAACACGACGATAAGGAAATTTCAAAGAAATTTGCTTAAAATTAATCGATATTTAATATGCTAAAATATGTATACAAAATGATTCATGCAATATTTATCACACTAATGAAATGTGGCGTTATGGTTTTTACATGGAACATATCATCTTTCCCACATGTTTCTGAGGTTTTTTTTTGTATTGAAGGAGAAATTCGTCTCTGTTTGAGGTCTTTTGCCACACGTGATTACATTTTTACTATAATTGGCAATTTTGGGCGCTGTTTTAACGAATTGAGCAAATCATCGAAACAAATTTCATCGCGGAATTGCGCTTGTTAGTTGGCAAAGAAGCCTACAAAGTGACTTAACACCTCTGCAGGACGACGCGGAATTGTATCGCAATCTTGATCGACACTCAATTATCTTTGCAATCTCTCGTCTGCTCAATGTCCTTTCCTCACCACGCAAAAGTGTGCTTACTTGTGTGGTGACGCCGCGAAGGTTCACAAGAAGTCACAATCATGTGAAATTTCCACAAGACTTCATGGTAAGGTGAAATATCTCTAAAGCAAGTTTCCTTATTTGAGTGAATAATATTTTTATACGAGATTGACTTCTCTGTCTCTCAATTTAAAACATTGCAATGGAAGCGGAATAAATCAGGTCGAGGACTCTCCATGTGCGCGCGCGCACACACTTTCAATGGGAAAAACTAAGCCTGATAAAAGAAACTTCAATCACAAACAAATGACGTCGCGAATCGCCAAATATTTAATCTCCTTTGATTTTGCCGAGGTGATGAGACTTCTTTCTCTCGATCAATGTAATAATGCGCCAATGTTGAATGACACAAGGCCACAAGACGTATTTATGTATAAAATCGTCTGTTGGGCGGCTTGGGCTGAATCTAGAAATGTGAGTCACTCTCTGTGCCACAAGATTTTCGCGCCAAGTGCATCAGCAAGGTAAATCGCTCCTGACTCGATCTGCCAAGATGTTCCGCTCATTTGCACGTAATATAAATATTTGTGCGCGTCTTTGGCTAATTTTGCCAGGACTCTACTCCATTCTCTATATGCAATCTAACACATCAGCAGAGATATCTCTCCTTCAGTGGCTTTTCCATGGCAATACGGTACTTTGAACCGCGCTGGACGCGTCTTATGAAATGCGAACAAACACATTTTACAATTCTCGTTTTGTGGTCTTTACCAAAAATCGCATGCAACTGACGAGTGAAACACGGTCTCGCTTGGCTCTGGAGGAGCAAACTGCCTTCTCTGGAATGCGCTGGATAACTCGTTGGCCGTCCCACTCCCAAATAAGATCACAGATTAGCGTTTCTCTCCATCGGATAGCGATCGCGACAGTGTGTTCGTCAGAGATATTGGCCCCTTGATGGAGTGCTGAAAATCTCCAGAAGAGAATTAATTAGGTGATCTAATCTAAATTTAAATTAACCCACAGTGAGAAGGAAACCTCAATAAATTGTCTTAGTGGCAAAAACTCTCGAAAATCACAGATTTCTGTGGGGTTTTTAAGACATTTAGTGGTCGCTATTTAAAATTAGAGCACAATTGTCCTTCGAGGAAAACCCGTGGCAAGCAAACAATGAAGAGGCCAATTAAAAATTAATATTTCCGATACGGCACATTGAATATTCATGTGTGCAAATTTTGCCAATCCATCGAGATGGAAAGTGACGAGTCAGCCGAAATTCATTTTTCTTGTCTCATTTGGTTAATTTAAATACAATTGTTGCAAACGATGCGATCATGCTGTGAATTAATTCAGGCCAAATTCACGTCAATCATTTCGTCGATCAAATTGCTCGCCTTCATTAGGGATACTTGTACTTCAGCGCTGCGCCCGAATTCCAGATGTTTTTTTTTGTGAGAGAATGCGCGGAGTTTTGAACAAACGATTTCCACGCAAAGCTGATATTGAAATGTGTGGCAGACGAAAAACCTTGATTTCCTTCTTAACGATTCGCTTTGGCATTGATCCAAAAATAAGTGTATCAGTGAAAATTCAAGTGATGTTTTCTGTCTTCTGTTCAAGAAATGATATTCAATTGAAGGTTTTCTCTCACTCCCTGGCAGGCTCACTGGACAATCGTGGCTTCAGCTGCAGCAGCAGAAGTTGCGCGCGAGGAATGAGCAGCGGATGCGAGATGAGAGGGATGTGTTCGACAGGAGGATCCACACGGAGATCACGGGAAGGCCGTACAGATCGCGATCCAGCGCCTCGAAGCGCTACGATGGCTACACCAGTGACACGACGTTCGCAGACGAGGTGGACTATCGACGTCCTCTGCACGTGCAGACGCCCACGCGATCGCTCAATGATCGCAACTATCACACGCTCACGACCACGACGACTACGGTGAAGGAGCGTCCCTTCGTTGCCGTCCGACGGGCTCACGATCAGGCCAAGCAGCAGACAATTGTGAGTATGAGAGAGTCTCAAAGCTGTGGCGAAGGGTATTTTTTCGGCTTAGTTTTTGACGCTAAATTTTGCACAGTCGAGAGTTTGAGAATCACTGAAGATATTAAACCATTAACGCACGATTGATTACACTCTAAAACCCAAAAACATTGTAGTCATCATCAAATCCACCATTGTCTGTGTTGAGTGCGGCACCGCATGGTCACATTGCACAAGTTTCACCTCAGGCATCACAGGCGCGCCAAGAGGAGCAAAAGCAGCAGAACGGACTCTTGCTGCTGGCCAATGATGGCACCCCCCGTGCCAACGGACACGCGAGATTGGTAGGTACTTTTGGGCTATAGCAGCCCCTTGTCTATCACGCGTCCACCCACACATTGTGTTGCAATGTTATGTGACTATTCAATTTGGCGGGCGCATTTCCTCGCGCAATTTGTCTGTAAATAATCATTGATGGAGAAAATTACACAAGCAGAGCCAGAGTGTGACTCAAGATGGTAAACATTGAGGCAGAGAAGAAGAAGAAGAAAAAAAACAGAGATAATTTCTCAATTAATTTATTGCCTGACTAAATTTACCTTTTTATCTCACTCCCTTTTTTTCGTGTCGCATCATCACTTCACACACAATATTTTGCTCTTTGTGATTATGGCCTTCCTTTTGCAATGCAGCATAATTTAATATTCTTTCTGATAATTTTTTTTAGTTTTATTTGCATGACTAACTTGAAAATTGTTCATTTTCTCTCTAATTTTTTTGAATTAAAACCACCTTCATCATCATCCTGACCCATAATCACACACACACAATCAGTCAGAGGGATCGTCGTCGCCCACGTCTTCAGGCACAAATCCCAGCAATTCAAGCAATTCCAGTGGCGAGAATCAGGAGACGCAGCAAATGACATTGAATGATCTACTGGAGAAGCTCAAGTGCGAGACGAAGGAGATCGAAAGGTTGCAGGATCAGCGGCGAGAGCTGCACAATCCGCTGGCCAATAACTATAGTGCCACCGTGAAGCGGAAACCCGCTGTGAATGCGTACAGTCTGAAGGATGTGATGGACGATCTGGAGGAGTTCACGAGTAGTCATGAGAAGAAGCGACAGAATCGATTACCTGGCGAAGCCTTGACGAACGGTCATGCGCGCGCGGGTTTAACGAATGGTTCTGAGTCGCCAGCAATTAGGAAGATCAATAGTGAATCAGAGAATAGTTCATCTGTCTCGCCGAGTCTCTCTGAGAGAAGTAATGGCGTGTCTTGGAGCGATCAGGTAGGAGAGAAGATCACCTGACAAAATCATCAAACCATTCATCCTCTTGTGTTTGGCTTCTTAACACTCTTTTTGGTCAAATGAAACAGTCAAAATTATCTGCATGTTCTCTTGTTCATTGATCGTTGTGTGAACTAATCAACAAACAAGAAGTACACTGACTCAGTCCTCGTCCGAAGAAGTGCGGAGGAGTGGAAGAGAGTGGAAGGAGAGAGTAACTAAAGTGGGTTGTTTTCCATTTGCAGGTTCGCGAGGAATCAATCTCGTCCTACAATGACGACTTTTCGCCAATTAGTGGATCATCGAGGCCTGAAACTCCTGCTTTTCCGGTCACACCGCGCACGCCGTACTCTTTTGGCGTCAACGGAAACACGAGCCCGGCTTTGCCACCCAAGAGTCCGACATCACAACGGTGAGTTCACTGGAAGATCAATATTTTGTGGTGTTGACCAAGAAAAACAGTCAGTCAGTCGTGTCAAAAGTTATAGAGAATCTTGCCCTATCTCACCTTGTCTCTTTGAAATTATGTGTCTCCAAAATAGACGATTTGGCAATCCTGCGTGGTCTTTGAGAAGTCAAAAAACGTCCGTCTCAACACACGACTGGAGGTTAGAGCCGTGAAAATGTATTGCAATATAAATCTCTTGTCCACACATTTACTTCCTCTCTCTCTGTCTCGCTAAAACCAATTCGAAATTCTCTCCATTTGGAATGTGTTTCGTTTTCATTTTTTTTGGAATTTGTTATCTTAACATTTTTTGTCTCTCCCACTTAAAAGATGAGTTTAACAGCATTCTGTCCACCTCTGTTCTCCCACATTCATTTGACAAAGCGCACGGAATTCCACAGACATTTTCTCGCAGAAGAGCATCAGAGGAAATTTATAGAGAGCATGGATCGTAGAAGAGAATGCCAATTTTCCCAGATTTTTTCTTCATTTGACTATTTATCCTCTAACTCTAATGTTGTTGTTAACAACCTTAGATTTGATAGATTCCTTCGTCCTTAAGATCGTGAAAGTGTCTAAATAGGTTGTGATATTTCTGGTAGAACTTGACTCTATGATTGTGCGCATTTCCATCAACAGCAAGGACCTCTATTCTGGCCATCAAGTTCATCATCTCGTGAATCAGAATGATTCGGTGTCATGCTACACGTCTCGCAGGAACTCCACCACTTCTACTGCCAACAGTGAGCCTCAGGAAGTTGCTCCACATCACGTCAAGTGAGTAGGATTGCGCAAAGGTAGAGCAAGAATCTCACCGCCATAATCGGCATTTTCTTCTGCAGATTCGTTCGCGACTCCTCCAAATACTGGTACAAGCCCAACATCACGCGCGAACAGGCAGCTAATCTCCTTCGTGACGCTGCTCCGGGTACTTTTATCGTCAGGGACTCCAAATCCTTCGCCAATGCCTTCGGTCTGGTGCTGAAAGTGGCCTATCCGCCGCCGCATGCGGCCAAGGGTGGCTCTGGAGATGAATTGGTGCGTCACTTCCTGGTGGAGCCCACAACTCGTGGTGTTCGTCTCAAAGGATGCGCCAATGAGCCAGTGTTCACATCTCTCTCAGCTCTGGTCTATCAGCACTCAATCACACCCTTGGCGCTGCCCTGTCGCCTCATCATCCCCGAGAGGGACATCCAGCAGTCGGAGTATCCGTCGCCGGCGCAACAGCAGCTACTGCTGCACGGCGCCGCCTGCAATGTGCTCTTCCTGTGCAGCGTGGAGACGGAGAGCCTCACTGGACCGGAAGCGGTGAGGAAGGCGGTGACTCTGCTGTTCTCTCGGCGACCACTGCCGTCGCCTACGAGAGTGCACTTCAAGGTGACCAACCAGGGAATCACGCTAACGGACAACACTCGCCAGCTCTTCTTCAGGTTGACAATTACTCTGAACAACTTCTCATTGAATTGATTAACAAGTAGATTTGTGGTATATTTGCAGAAAACACTATCCGAACATGAGTATTTCGCACTGCAGTCTGGATCCGGATGAGCGTCGCTGGAGTGTTCCGGCATCAGGAGACATCCCCGTGGTGAACAAGTGAGTGTCGGCAATTGATCCTCTTGTGGCAGCAGTGAATTGATGTTTTTCCTTTGTTTTTAGTCGAATCTTCGCCTTTGTCGCCCGTCGCTCGTCCTCATCAATGGACAACGTTTGCCACATCTTCTGCGAACTGGAACCCACGCAGCCCGCCACGGCGATCACATCTTTCGCCAACCAGGCCATCTTTGGCGGCGTCACGAGCCAACCGGCCATCTCTCGAGCCATCTAAAAACGCCTCCTCGCAAGAAACTCTATCTTAACCTTACAAGAGATGCGCGCTTATTCGCAGAATTAACACACCAGCAGAAGAAGAAACACATTAATTGCCTTTCATTGTAAATATATATAATTGATCCAACCAAGCCCTAACAGATCTGACTAGGTAAAAAAAAGAAAAGAAATTGTATTGCAATAGAGTAAAAAATAGAGAGAGATTGGAAAAGAGACGGCACTTGAAAGTCGTATGAGGAATTGGAGTAAATGAATGCACAAAATAAGTGCATGAAACGAATTAAAGTGCCATACCATTTCATTTTAGCCACAGAAAAGGGAGGAAAAACATCTATTTTCATAGGAATCATTTAACTCTATATCTTTACTAATTTAACGAAAAAAAAAGAAACAATGTCTACTTTCTGTTCTTTTATCATCTGTTTTTGCGCCTCGTGTGAAGCTTGAGTTGTAATTCTGCAGAATTACAGCCTTAAGATGTCCCTCTGTTTCTTCATTTTGCCCTACTTAATCGGTCTTTGTACAAAATTATGCAAATCTTTCTTGTCTTTGCGGAAGTGTCTTTCTTTATCAAATTTAAAATATATTTCTCTTGATTTGTTTTAAATGAAAAAATAAAATTCTTTAAATGTTAATACAATACGAACGAAATGCACGAGCATTATTATTACTTAAATGTGAATATATATAATTTTTTCAAAATCCTGAGAAATTTACAAAAAAAATACATGAAGAATTAACAAGAGAAAATTGTACATGAGAGAGAAGAGCGATCAATTCGTGGATCAACTGGAAAAATGCACCGTGCTGCAATGCAGACACTCTTCTCACTTATCAATTGGCGTGAGTGAGAAGAGATCATCAGAGACCAACTCTTGATCGCGCAACTTTGTAATAAATAACTATTGTACACTAATATTTATAACGAAAAGCATTATAATTGCGTAACAAATTAATTTATAATCAAATATACATAGCGTGCCTGAACGAAAAAAAAGAATCAATTTATGCGGAGAAATTAACATTACTGAGAAAAGCAAACACACAATATTATACATACAATACATAACTAGTCTTCAGGAAAAGCAACTGAATTATATGGTTCTAAAAGTCACTTTGAGACCAGCAAAAATGATTTTCTTTTGGCAGCTCCAACGGAAGATATTATACATAGAAGGATGATAAAAATGTAATAATTGTATTAATATTGAAAAAGAAATATATATGTGAATTTAATTTATTTCAAATGATTTTTTATTCCACCAATTTTGCCAATATCTTTATCTATGATTGGATTTCTCTAATAATCTGTTTTTGCTATTCAATTGCCTACATTCCGGCAAATCAAGAACGTGGTGAAACTGTCCAAAAATTATCCGTTTGAAAAATATGAATCTTCGTAGAATCAAATAATTTGTTTATATTTGCACGTAGTAAAGAATTTTTGCAATACACATAGAATTGATGTGAAAATATCAATTATAAATAAAGCAAATATTTAAAAAGCATTGCATCAGTGATAAGATAAAGTCACACTCCTTCAATGGATTTATCAAGTGATTTCGCTCATCTATAAATTGATCGAGATTTTCCTGCGCTGTCCAGTATATCTGTAGATTTTCTCATTTAAAGTTTTCCAATCAAAGTGAAATGGAAAGAGCACTTTTATACACACTCCTAGTCATTCTTGGACTGACTCAAGGCAAGTCAATTTATCATAATTAATTTTTACGTTGATGCTCAAGTTTAATTTCCACATACACAGCGTCTGCTTTGACGTGCTACAATTGCAATTCTCTTCAGCACAAAGATTGTGCCAATTCTTTGGACACTGTAGAGAAAGTCACTTGCCATGCAGGAGAAAATTGCGCCTCGGTATTTTTTACTCTCCGTAAGTTTATTGTTTCTAAATACAAATTTCTAATAACAATTACTCATGAGATTTCTTCTCTCCTGCAGAACCAACACCGTCGTCAGCTCCTATTTCTACTGTGATAAGAGGATGTGCTTCGAATAAAGTGAAATGCAGTGATCTGGAGCAAAATACCGAACAAGTGGTGACTGATTGCACCCTGTGTGACAAGGATTTGTGCAATAACAAAGTTATGGGAAGTTCAAGTGATTCCGTGAAGCTGTCGAGTGCAATTTTCTCTGTATTCCCATTGCTCATCGCTGCCATGCTTATTAATCACTGGCAATAAATTGCTTCATTTCTATTGAAATATTGTGATATTGTCTGTCTCTTATCACTCTGATATGATAAAATGTGCTAGTTGGAGCCCAAACAAATCATAGGTGCGCTTTTAAAGGTATTTCTTGATGAAAAATAAACATTTGTTGCATTCCAATTCCACTAATCAGTGCATCAAAATTAATCAATTAAATCTACAACTTCAATGACTTCTTATCATGTTTATCGTGTGACTAAAACTAGGTCTAGACACATTCAATTGAGCAAACGCCAATTTTTCTCAGTGTGCAACACATAGAAAGCCAATTTTGATACGATTCAACAATTCTCTTATATTAAGAGGTGGTGTGGTTTCTCATATTTCTCTGTCGATCCTTTGGATGTCGAAGCATTGAAAACATATTTGCAATTCAACATATATTTTGTGCCTTTATTGCTTCAGCAATTGCATATTTAAATAATTTCACAAAATTTTATAAACTGTTTCGTAAATAAATCAACTTGCAAAATCCACAAATTTTGCATGTTTAAATAGCATAGAAAAAGAAGGAGATTCGAAGGGACTTTGCGTGAAGGATGAGTAGTGCGTGATTCACTGAACAAAGATCTCGTACTGGTCGTACCGGAGCTCCTCGCCTCCGTACGGAATGTAGACGCATCCGTGGGTCGGCTGCACCTTTCCCACTGTCACGGTGCCCTCGTGAGTCGCCCGGCCGACGAACAGTGGCTCGCCCTCCTCGGTCTCGCCGCCGGGCAGAGCGTTAGGCGGAATAGCTGAGCCGGAGCCGGTAATCCAGCTTCCACCACCGCATAGCACTTCATATTCGGACACGGCGTTCTCAGCTCCGCCCCACGCCACGTAGCAGACGCCGTGCGAAGGCACCAGCTTTCCCGGGATGAGACCTCCGCCGTAGCGTGCGCGGGCGACATAGAGCTGCTCGCCGTCGTGACCGCCGGGAACAGCGCCGTCGGGAACCTGGCCATTGCTAGCCGGGACCCAGCAGGCAGAGCCGCCACTCGAAACCAGACCACCTGGCGCGTCTGCAAGGGAGAAAAGAAGGCAAGATTAGAGGTTGATTCGTGAAAGAATTCACAGAGATCACGATACTGAAGAGACATGCAGTTAAATCGTTCCTGGAAATTTAATTAGAGACTATCATCAGAGCGACCACTCAATTCTGCTTCATTAATGCAGTCTGGTCTCCCTCTCTTATCGATTGTGCTACATAATTTAGTGGAAAATTAGGCCAATTTCACCTCCTACCAAAGAAGCCCCCTCGGGATTAGAAGCAGAGCATTGCGGACAGGATTATTATCAAAGCGACCACAAAATACCTCGGCGAGGCGGAAAGGGAGTGATATGGGGAGGAATCTGTCCGCTCTGGCCGTCAAAGTGGAGCCTCCACTTGCCCGTGGCGCCCCAACCAGTGCGCACGGCCACGAATCTCACGGGGAATCGCACGCTCTCGGGCGCCTCGATCACGAGGGGCCCCCGAGGGCCGCCCTGGCGCACAGACAAGTGCCCATGGCGCCACTCCACGTGGAAGGTGGTGAAGTGAGAGGCGTTCAGGAGATTCGGCGTGTCCACGCGCACACGGTCGGGCGATTCACGGTTCACGCGAATCACGCTGGCCGTGTTGTTCCAGCCGCCCAGGATGATCTCCGTGAGTGGTTTCATGTCGCTGGGCTGCGGCATGAGGCCGATGTGGCAATTGGAGGGACCCTTGAACTCCACCGCGAGAGATCCGTGCTCCAGCGCCGGAAGGAAGCTGTACTTTAGATTGTCGGGTGTCTTCATCTCAGGTCCACCTGATGATGAGTGATGAAGAACACGCCCAAGAATTATATACAAAGGATATTAAGGTAAGGGCGGGAATTTAGGAGCTGGCAATCAGAAGCTAGTAAGGCTATAGTCCTAATCAGGCTATAGTAACAAAGTGAAGAAAAACCTTCCGCAAATATGTGACCTCATTCTTCAATGAATGACTTTTTGTATCTGCATGTGTGGCTGTATGAGTCATCATTCATTCTTGACCTTTGATAGCTTGTTATTGATTCTTATCACGAAACAGTTTCTATTGGGCTACACACCTTCAATCTGCCAGGATCCACTTGCTCCCCATCCAGTGCACACGCCCACATAGTTGAATGGACAGTTGTCCGGGTCCTGCCACGAGAGGAAGGCAGCAGCCTCGCCCTCCCTGCCTACAGTGATGATCCCGTCCATGGTCCAGCGAATCCAGAAGCCGCGAAACTCACCGGCGTTCAACACGTCCGGCGTCTCGGCCTCCACGACATCGGGCTTCGTGCGATTCTTCCTGATCACGGACTTGGTGTTGCTCCAGCCGCCGATGAAGACCTCCAGCATGGGGTCGGATTCGGCCGGTCCGGTTGTCAAGGCCAAGTGAGCGTCATTCGGAGCACGCACCTTGAAGTTTACGATGCGATTCGTAACCGGGTAGAAGCGGTATTCGAGTTTATCTTCAGTATCCACTTCTGTTGGTGAGATTAGAAACATGTGATAAAAGTTGGCTCATTGGAAAATTTAATAATATATGCACTTATTCTAGAAAATGTAATTATTCTAAGTTCTGAAACGCCTAAAATTATATAAATATCATGATATTTTGAAAAATATTCTCTCACAGCACATTATTATGACCATTGTGATCATCTCTTTATCAACTCTCTGTATTAGCAATATAATAGCCTATAACGGTCACGTGCACAGTGAGACAATGTTGTGCCAAACATAACTGCACCATTCCTCATAAAATCGCCAAGTGGCCAAAATTGTGGCTTCACTAATTGCTGACGCGAACGTATGTGTAAATGGAGTCATAATTTGCATTAAATTGCACACATCAATGCTATATCACGCTTCTATTTTTATGTGTCTATTCAATTTTCTGTATCTCTCGAGCGATGACATCATCGCTGAGTCTCTTTCCCGAGAAGGCGTTCGAAGGGAAAAAGAGTGCCTTTATGCATGGAATCTCCTCTCACACAGATCGAAGGTGTGAAATTGTCGCTCATGTGACCGTCGAAGAGAGATGGTGTTTATCGTTGCATAGAGAAATTCGCGCGAGAGAATGTCGTTTTGCCGGCTGTTCTTCACGCGCGCGGAGAGAAATGAGCCACGCCTTGAAGACGGACTCATTCTTGCTCCTCTTTGTGACCGACACGCCAACTTTGGCGCCATGCCAATCGATGATTTTTATTTATAATCCTGCAGAGATTCCTCTTTGCATTGCGCGGCTCCGCGCCTGAACTCCGCTAGGAAAATATTTGGTATATCTAATGTGTGAAAATCAATACATCAAATAGTGGACGGGAAAATTGTTGCTTCGCTGGAATTTTTTTTTTCTTCTTCTATGTTTCGAGAACATCTTCCAAGGATAGAAGAATGTATATAAAAATTTGTGCGCAATTTTCTGTGTCGCGGTCACACAATGTTAATTCTCTCTCACACACATTTTCAGCTTCTCCCACCGAAAAACTAATATGATGAAGAATGCTCGTCAGTTCCAAATGGGAGCTCCACAGAGGTCACGCTCTGCTGGACCTGGAAATTCTTATCAAATGCTAATTGACTAACGCCAATATTTGATCTTCTTGCATCGACAAAGTCCACTGGATCAATTTGATTGGACACAAATCCCACGGAAAAGTACCCAAAGTCACTGAGAAAACCTTCTGAATATGGAATTTTACGTGAAACTCGATGAGATCATCCCGCAGAGTGATGAATTTTTCACGATTTTCCACTGTGAATGGCGATTGAGATGACAATGTCTGATCACCAAACTCACCGATAGGCATTTTTCCTGCGGCTTAGAATCGACTTAACTGGCACAAAAACTGGGAAAATGGAGAGAAGTTCACTGAAGAATGCTCAACGAAAACAGTATTCAATGAATCCACTGCTGAATAGCCGCAACTACTGAAGCCGGCAAACATTTGGTGGCGCTTTTATAACTTCGGTGACTCAAGCGTTGGTTCTCTCATCCCACTCGCAAATTGAGGTCAGAGCTGCAAAGCCCACAGATGAGAGATTAAAGAGAAACTGAGAGAATATATTGCGAGCAATATTATGGGCAAAGAGAACTCATTGGATCAACTCTGATATTGAGCATTCACCGGCAGGTTTCCGCTCTTCTCTAGCTTTCTCCCCATTGCTGGCCATGGAGAGAGAGACAGCGAATGAATCGTGTGACTGTGTATTTATCAAAATCCAGCATTTTTGTACAATTTTGCTAAATAAATTAGTAAGAATTTCGTCACTTCACGTTTGAGGCGAATGGCTTCGCTCTTTCTTGCTTTTTGCACCTGCAACTGACCCACGAATTAATTTGGACTTCCTCGTTTGATATTCCACACGTTTGTCATTACGTTTTATTGCGGGATGATTTCATTTCGCTCTCTAGAATAGTCCAATTTTTATGGCCTTTCTGTGCTGCATTGCATACAATTGAGCTCTTCACCGTTAAAATCTTTGAATACCTCGGAATTCTTAAAGGCGTCACAGCTAGCGAGAAGTGAGTTTTCAGCCTAGGTTCCCTAAGAAAAAAAACTTCCTTAAAACAAACAGGCTTTGTCTCATAATTCTTTGGAAAATCCTCAGTAGTTTCTGAAAAATCAGATAGAATCGATAGAACAAAGGAAATTGAAGAAAATTTTCGTCATGAAGCTGCAGGAGATTTTGATTCATCCGCTAACTGTTGTGGTGTTCTTCCACCTGGTGCTCAGGAGAAGCCTGTTCTGGAGTCCTTCACCCTATGCATACACAACAGTAATGAACACCGGAAATGCGTCCTATTTCATCCTCTTTTCGGTCATCATTGCTCTGGTGGAGCAGAAGAGACTCATGCAACCTTATCTGGAAGACATGAATCCCTGCTTGAGGTACATAATCCTCCTCTGCATGTCTCTCGTGATCCTGGAGACAGCAATGATCCTCATTTGGACGAACATTGAAATTGTCTTGAGAAACATTTGTCGCTTTGTGCTACTCAACATCTTCCGCTGCACCGATCTTCGCCTCCGGACAATTGTGCCAGAACTCTTGATCACAGTCTTCAGCGTTGGCGTACTGACCATCGCTCTCACCCATACAATGTCTGGAAATCGCGCTTTGATCAAGATCAACGCTCTTCTTTCTATGTAAAAGCATTTCGTAAAAGCCTGTAAATTGTTGACAAATAACACTGCTAAATTCTTCTGTGACATCATTTGTGTTTTCGTCACCAATTCAACCAATTCATCACCAATACTTTAGTCATGCGGCAGTATTTTTAGCCTCTTTGCTAATACCTTCCAATGACATCAACATCGTCATCAGTTTGCCCTCGACCAAGAGAAGTCATTTGCCTTGTGATTTGCATCGATCTCTCTCTATTTTATTATACAAATATCATATACAATATGTACAAGAGAGTGTACAATTTATGTTTGCAAATCGGGTTGCGAAGAAAGTCTATAAACTATACAAGTTTTGCTCCCTGCAAATTGTTAAACATCAATCAAATCTAAACTCCTCTAAGCTATACACGTTAATTGCACTCTAAAATTCCATGAAAAATGCCATCAGACCTGCTTCTAGTCTAATCTCTATTTATTGATTACAACAAAATCACAGCTATGATTATATGATTAGTGTCTCACAAAGAGATCATCCACTCTACGACACATCGCCTTATCGCTTAACTCTGATATTGATGAAAGTCAAATTGAGCAAATAAGAAATGCAAAGCAGTCCAGAACTTCTATTTGGTGCTATTTTCCATTAGTTGCAACCATTGAAGATGGTGGAAGTACATAAAATCATTAACAAGGCAGTTTATTATTGTATAAGAAAATATCGCCCAATAAAACCCTTTGAAACTTAAGTAAGAAAATATATTTCTTCTCATCAATGATCTCTTTGTGGTGATAAGTCAAATGGTTACAGAAATTGTTTGCTAATTTCCTTCGCTAAAACTATTGTTACTACGTAGTACCTCTTGATTGCCATATAAACTGAATCTCCTGAGAATTTCTGTTGGATAAAAACGGCTAAAAGACATTATATGGCATAAATTCTACTCGATTCTGGATTAACGTGTAAAATCGAAAACATTGGCCTGAGTTCATTTTGTGTCCACGATTATAGAGAAAACGGCTTTAAAACTAAAAGGGAAGTAAAATGGTAATTCTATTGGGTAACGCAGAATCAATTGAGGTGCCTCGTGAAGATCTTCAATAACCGCCAATGCCGAGCATTGAGCGGATCTGCTCGAAGGAGAGCCAGAAGGTGAGCGACCACGGCGCCATGCGAATCCACACGGGCAGGAAGCCTTTGTACAGCGCGAAGAATCCCTCCTTGGACACTGTCTTCATCAGGCAATCCACGCTGCCCTTGTAGAGAAGACCACGTCCCGTGCTATCCACCGGCTGGTTCATAATTCGCGTCTTCACAACATCCGCCGGCGTGCCCATCGTTGCCGCCACGAGACCAGCGCACACAGACGACGCTACGTGCACGATGTGGCAGTCTGGCAGTCCCGTGCGTCGCATGATCGTCCTCTTCACCGTGTCATACGTGGTGAGATCGCCCAGATTCACCAGAGCCGCACGCTGAACATTGGGCACGCTGCCCTTCCATAGCCCTCGCACGCCGCCGCGCTTCACGATCTCTCTGAATGCATGCGCGGCACTGTGGACGCGCGGCTCCAGGCCCATCAGTCGCCTCTTGCCCTCCATCTGGCACTGCACCTTCACCAAATCCGCCGGCGACGCCATCCACTGCGCCAGAGCGCCGGCCGTGACACCGCACAGGGCTGACTTGTGTATCGGCAAACTTGCGTTCTCATGACTCGCCGTCATCATGCTCTTCCGCAGTGTGTCATACGTCACGATGCGCACCCCACTGTACACCACGTGCCGATAGAGCGCCGGTGTGACGCCCTGCCACAGCTTCAGCGCGCCCTCCTCGCGCGCAATGCCCAGCGCAGTGGCCAGCATGCCACGATGCTGCGTCCGGGAGATCATGCCGTCCACCTTCACGCTCGCCGTCGCCTCGCCCTGGATCTGGAGGCGCGTCTTAGTCAAATCCAGGGGATAGGTCACTACAACGAACCACAATTAGCCTGTCAGCATAGACATACCTGTTAAGGGCAATTGCTCACCTAATTCCGCCATGTTCGCCGCTATCACGGAGACGACGTAGGTGCAGAGAAAGGAGTCCGCATAGTGATACTTCACCGGACGCATTTCCGTTCTCGTGGTCTGCTGCATTCTGGCATGGGAAGAGTTCTCTTAGAGCACACTTTCGTCATTCTATTGTTTTGCATTATAATTAGACGGGCGTTCAAGGGCGTATTTACATAAGGATTCAGCGAGAGGTGTTCATCGCAAAAAAATATAACTTCAATTGACGCAACAAACAACAATTAACGTGCACTGCACATTTTTAAAAATAAGATTAAAAAGGAACTCTTTCGTTTCGTGATCGTAACGTCAAGAAATTGAACAATTGCTTTACCAAATGAGTAGTTTAAAAAAATAGCTTAATTATATTCCGTGTTTGTGCACAGACTAAAGCGACCTTTAATTTGAAAGATAAGTAAATTTTCTGTAAAAATTTTTTTACACCTGGAAAATTTAATGATAAACTGTCGCACACGCGACATTGGAGTCACAGGAATGTTAAACTTTTTTCCTACAACGCAAATGAATTACGCACACTTTTTGAGGGAAAATTTGTATACGAAAGTATTGATAATCTCCTAAATACGCAAGCCTTCATTATTGGGATTTAATCAGGGATTTAATTGCCTTTCTGTGAGTTCTCTATCACACTGATAAGCTGCTTCACCAGAAGCGTTTTTCGTTTTTATCAGTGTAATTCGTGTAATTACCCAAAGATACCACCAGTTGCGGCCGAAACACCGCATCTTGTGTATCGCATTTCTGCGATGGGGAACCCCCAGATGCTCTCTCGCTCCCTCATTCATCTCGTGGCCCTCAATCTCACACTCTTGCAGGCCGCGCTTGATGTGTATTGCCGCTGAATATTTACATGGCAAATGCAGTGTTTTCTTATCCGATTATGTAACGCCATAATGCAGAAGAAGAGACATGACTTACTTGGCGCTCACGTTGCTTTGCCCAGCCGATTGACGAACGGATAATCCACAGATTCTATTGCGTCGCACCCTCGGGAGTCAGTCGATGGGATTGAGATCACACCATAGCGGCCCCAGAGGCCGTCAGAGAGCCCAAAAGAGGCCGGAGAGCAGCGACGAACGAATGGGAAACAGTGTTGCGAACTGAGGCCACGATTCGCATTATCACAACTCTGTTTTTATGGGCGCTGCTATTGATCTGATACAGGGAGGGCTCGCGTTTATCTTCCACACGCCCCAGAGAGCTGACGAATGCCAAAATTAGCACTGGACACGATAGCAAAGTGCCGCAAAATGAGTGGGGAACACTATCAATGTTGTCCTAGCAAGAGAAAGTTGACTGTTCGGACTCTTCCATGTTGTCTATCGTCTTCAGAGGTGATTGGCTGCGGCCGAAGCACTTTTCACAACTCTCACTGCGTCTCTTTTCCCACTCATTATCAATTTGCCATGGAAAAATGCATGCAAATGGGGTCGATGAAAATGCACTCTTTGCTCGCCACACGAAAACAATGCACTTTGACAGCAGCCCAGCTGACTCGCTCGCGCCACCATGGAATCGCCCATTTGTTTACCTCACGCCGTCATGGGTCGCTGTTTCCCGTTTTCAACTTTGATTAAAAAAAAAAAACAAGAGAAGAAAAACCAGCAATCAAATGAACGATTATCTTTATTTCATCTTCGAAAAAATGGTCAAATATAAAATAAAATATAATTTAGAGTCATAACAGTAATACTTTGAATTCAAAGGGATTTAGAGGGGATGATACAAATCTATATTGAAATGTATCAGTGCAAAATTTCAAAAGAACTCTGTGAGATTGTGGAAATGTAGCGTCTCTTTCGTGTGATTCTCCTGAATAGCATGTTTTATGCTACTTACAGACCACTATGGAATACAAATAAGATATTTCTCCCTAAAATTATATCCAAGATAGAACAGTTAATCTCGGTTCTGCTCTCCAGAAGTGCAGTGGAATAATCAATCCAAAGAAATCGTCTGTTTTCCCACGCTCCGAACGACGGCGTGCCGCCTCTATTGGTGTGGGCACGTCTTCTGGACATTCTGCACCATCCTTCGGCCCCACCAGCTCTCCAGGTCAAACGGTGTGAAGTTTGCAAGTCGAGATTCAGGTACACTTTTGTAGAGGACTGGAGAGCCCTGTTCGCTGACCTAGAAAGAGTCCCAAAAAAATACGCTCAAAACAAATCCTCATCGCACCCAATATCTGTCGCTTCTCACCTTTGTCCAAGCCTCTTGAATGTACTTGATTAGTTCATCGTGGTGAGTCTCCCGGATCGGCTCCGGAAGCCTCCCCGAGGAAGCAAGGGGCGACTCTCTGTGGTCTCGTGGCCTAGAAATGTTGGACATGTTAGAGCCCCCGCGCGCGTGCCTAACGAACGCCACTTGCCTCATGTTGCGATCCATCGTGCACAAAGCTACAAAAGTACCCTCGACAATACACAAAAATGCCGTGAAAATGCTGAGAAAGGGGGACTTTTTCGCGTTTTTCGCAGACGATCAAAATTTTCTTTGTTTTGACAGCGACGCGTCAGTATTGCCCGATCGCAGACTCGAGCAGCGCCAACTGGTGGCAAAATCGCCGTGCGAGCGATGGTGAAAGTTTGAATGGAGAGAAATTTTCTCTCCCAAAAATTGTACAGTTTTTTTGTCTAAACAAACACCTCCTGATCGCGTGACAGGCGATGAAGATTTACGACTGGCTGAAGGATTGTGATTGCTGTCTTGAATTTTCACTGAGTTTGCAGCTGGCATTGTATAACCTCAAACAATGACCTGCCGACAATTGGTGCGTGTTTTCTCCCGATATCCTGGGCAAAATCTCTACTCCAGACTGCCCACACATGCACGTGCCGTCAGGAAAGTGTGCCCCCTGGCTGCCGGATCCTTTCTGATAAAGCATCCGAGCGATTTGTGGAGTGACTGTGCTACCAGAGCCTTCTCGCAGACTCTGCAGCAACGGATTAGGTCTTCAGAGTACTCACAATGTGCCGAAAAACCACAAAAGAGCTCCACGGAGGAGCTTGCGCCGGAACCTCCGAAGAAGGAGGGCCTCGTGGCGCGGTTTAAAAAGATGTACAAGGAGTACTGGTACGTTTTGCTGCCCGTGCACATTGTCACGTCCACCGGTTGGCTCGGAGGCTTCTACTATCTCTCCAAGAGGTGAGTCTCTCCCTGACACTTTTAAGCTCGTCTTCCTGATTGTCTTTCATGTCTTTTCAGTGGCGTAGACATTGCGACTATCCTCGAAACGTTACACTTCAACGAGACTATCATTTCCCACTTGAGAGACTCTCATCTTGGTCACCTGGCTATCGCCTATTTTCTGTACAAGATCTTCACACCGCTGCGTTACATGGTGACGTTGGGCGGCACTACGCTGAGTATCAAATACTTGTCCCACTGGGGCTATATTAAACCCGTGCCTAGCAAGGACCGCCTCATGCAGATTTACCAGGATAAGAAGGCCGCCAGGATTCAAGCTAGAGAGGACAGGCGCAAGTGAGAGTCTCTCTTGGACCTTCGCTCGGATGATCTTCAATGTTACTGCTTCACGGAGTCATCCTTGCTGTGTAGTCTTGTTGCTCCTGATCCTCTCTCTTGAAGCGGAATGTAAGTCGCTGCAATGCACGCAATATTTTCTTCATGGAAAGTTTATTGTGTGTTAAATATTGAGTACATAAGTCTAATATATTATGCTTATTTTACGAAATATATTATTAAAGCCGAAGATTGAAGGGTTTATGTATCCTGCTGAAGAGGGAAATTCGCGGTACGTTTGTTTAAATATTGCCAAGGATATTTAGCTGGGAAGATCTTGAAGAATTGTGGATTATTAGATGCTGCGTGAAAATCCCGATTATATTGTCCTTTATATTACGTCCATGTCTTTTTTTCGTTATCATCATTTTCTCCATATAATCCAGCCTCAACCCATGTACTGATAAGTGGCCGATACGGGCTCAATGACACGATTGTGCGGCTGCATGGATATCTTCTGGATGTGACAAGCACGACACATCAGTCGTCCCTCGAAGGGATAACATCTCTTGTCCGGCTCGTCCGTCAGTTGCATGCCACATTCCTCGCAAATGTAGCAATCCACATGGAAGTCCTTGTCCATTGACACAACCCTGACAGTCTCTTCGGTTCCCTCCACCGGCGTAATTCCTGCAAAACCCAAGGCATTAGCACATCTCTTTCTCTCTGTGCCCATTGGCATTTGAAGACTCACCCTTGCCACAGCTGGCGCACTTTGGGGCAAACATTCGATGATAATCGTTGACGCAGTAGATTTTATTGTCCACATCCACAGTGAAGGGCACTCCATCGAGGCATTCGTTGCACACGCAACAGCGAAAGCAGCCTGGATGATACGATTTGCCCATGGCTTGCAAGATCTGCAAATGATTTCAACAACTATGATTAATATTCATGCGAGAGGAAGACTAATTAATTCCCCACAAAAAACAGTCACTTTAGCAATTAAGCATGCCCAAAATCTTCTAATGAAGTCACAAACAGTCTAAAAATGGAATTATTATAGTTTCTTACCATTTCCATTATTAAATGTCCACAAATTGCACACTTCTCAGCCGTCTGTTGGAATCCCGAGTACTGCGGAAGCACAAAAAGAGAGAGAGAGAGAAAAAAACTTACCAAACGTTCTCATTAGCAACTAATCATGTCTTACCATGTAGTCTTCTTCACAATAAACCCGACCATGAACATTGTAGAAAGCCTTTCCCCTCAGTGCTCTGCCGCAGGAGCAGCAAATGAAGCAATTCGTGTGATACAGATTCCCCATCGCCTGACACGCCTGCCCAGCTCCAGTCACTTTATCTCCACATGTGTGACAAATGCCTGGAAAAAGAGGGACAAATTCCACATAAAATTTCACTCATGAATTCGATGAATACTGCCAAGATTTTACCGAAATACTCTCCCTGCTCCTCATTCCTCTCCATCTCCTCCTCAAGCTGTCTCGTCAGCTCCTCAATCTTGCGCTCGGCCTCTGTGGGACCAGTTCCACGCGGTGGAGTCACATTGTAGGGCAGAAGATTCTTCGAGAGCCCTTTTGCTAGAGACGACGAGAAAAATAACCGTCAAAATATCTCTTAACACGCTTAACAGGAAGAAGTGCGATATGAAGAAATGAAACTGACTACACTCACGTCTTCCCGAACCGCTGCCGCTGCTGTGCTGCGACGGAGTGGGCGAAGCCGCTTCGGCCAGAGACTCCCTGTCCTGCTTCACCTGCTGACTCTGCACTGGCGGCGATGAGGCCTTCTTGGGCTGTGGCTTGGGTGGCAGCGGCTCCGGAAGACTTGTCTCCAGCTTCTGCTTTGCTACTGGCGGCGGTGGAGCGATCGCCGTGGCCGGACCGGCGACGTATGCAGTGACTTTCGTGGGATTGTTGGTTGAGGACGTGGTGGAGAAGACAGGCGCCGCCTGGGAGTGGATCTGGGATAACGTGCCAGCCGACATGCACACGTAGTCAGAGCCGTTGATGTCGTCCGCGGCGGCCTTCTGGCTGGGCGTGTACTTCTTGGGCTCGTACTGGGGCAGATAGGCGAAGTGCTTGGGAGACTTCTGGAACTCGTACGCACCGCCGCCGGAGGTGTTCTGATAGATGGGATTGGGGATGATAGGCTTCATGGGTTGATAGTGCGGCGGCTGTTGCACGGACTGGGCGAGCGGGAGCGGCGGATGGTGGTACTGCACCATGGCGGCTTTGGGCGGGAAGCTGTTCAACTGCGAGTAGTGACTCTTCGCGGATGCCCCCGAGCTGCTGTGCGAGTGATGCGGGCTGCCGTTGGACTGCTGCGCTTTGTTGAGACTCGTGGCCACCGAGGGGGCCACCATGTTGGTCTGATAGGAGTGCGACGCGGTGGCGGAGGGGCTGTCTGTACGGTGGTAGTACACCGCTTGCCCCGGAGAGGCCTGGGGCTGCGCCCGCTGACCCGACATGATGTGCAGATTCTCGTAGATGTGCACTTGGGGCTCGCTCTCCGGCTGCGGAGTGTGCGCATAGCGACTCGCGCTGCCCGGCGGCGCCGGAGAAGTCATTGAACCCGACACCGGGACCTGTGGCTGCGCTCTCTTGTTCGCGCAATCGAAGCTCCCGTAGTACGGGCCCTGGTCCGCGCCCAGGTACTCCAAGTTCTCATACACGGGCCCCGTGACGCCCGCCGGAGCCGCGAAGCTGGCTTTGGGGCTGTCGGAATGCTGCGAAGAACCGGAATGTGAATGGGAGTGTGTGGGACTGTTCGTGGGCAAGTAGGAGCCAATCTTCTGGTGCACCACACTCTTCCCCACTTGGCCGGGGCGCTGAATCCTGTACGAGTTGGCCTCCTGCTCCTCAGCGAGGCGCAGATTCTGGAGGCGCACCAGGTAGTTGGGATCATGGTTGGACTGGGCTTGCAGCTGGTGGTGAGGCGACGACATCCTTTTGGTGGCTTCTCACGCGCGAATCTGCTGGACAGGTTGAGTTTTCCACGGTGAAAAATCAAAGTAACGGAATGTGTGGAGATAAAGGAAAAACAGCAGAGTCGCGCTTTTGTTATCACAGAAATGGCAAATATTCGCGCAAATACGCAACACTCGAGCACTTCAACACTACCACGGCCTTCCTCACGGCGGAATCTCGCGATTAGACCATTTTTTCGTCCGGTTGGAGTGGAAATTGGTCGTGAAAATCACGAAGAAAAGAGTGCAACAACACAAATAGAGGTATTGACAAAACTAGAGGATGACAATTTCACGCGTTCGCCACTGATTCGTCCGGATTCGTCATCTCGTCGGCTCACCCGGTGGGACGATCTCTACCACTTGCTGTACTGAAACTCTACCAACAACCGGCTTGCTGGCGGAGTAAGTGGAGCGACTACTCAGCTGAGTGGTAGAAAAACTATCATCGCGCTCCGTGGGGGAATCTCAGTTCTGGCCAGTCTTTCTCGCTAGCCAAAAGTATTTATTTATAGCAATCTCATTCGTCCCAAACTCAAGTATCTTTGCAGAAATGGCCACAATTGTGCGCTCTCTTCTCAAGACAGTAAGATCTATTGTGTGTAGTTTTAGTTTTCTAGCTTCATGATTTATTACGCAACTTGCCACACTATTTCCAGAATCTTCCATCCGCTCTCCGTCAGACTTCTCTCTTCCGGCGCCATATCTCTACCGGAACTCCTCTGCTGGCTGCCAAGATCCAACAGCCGGCGCCCAATTTCAAGGGCACGGCTGTTGTCAATGGGGAATTCAAGGAGATCTCCCTGAGTGACTACAAAGGAAAGTACCTCGTGCTGTTTTTCTACCCCCTGGACTTCACTTTTGTCTGCCCCACGGAGATCATCGCCTTCAGTGACCGAATGTCGGAGTTCCAGAAGCTCAACACTGAAGTTGTGGGCGTCTCTGTGGACTCGCACTTCAGTCATCTGGCGTGGACGAATCTGGAGAGGAAGCACGGCGGCCTGGGGAAGCTGAAGTATCCCCTCTTGGCAGACATCACGAAGCAGATCTCACGAGACTACGATGTGTTGCTGGAGCAGAACGGAATCTCTCTACGAGGCTTATTTATTGTCGATCCAAATGGCATTTTGAGGCAAATCACCGTGAACGATCTGCCGGTCGGTCGTTCGGTGGATGAAACATTGAGGCTCATCAAGGCATTCCAGTTCGTCGAGAAGCACGGCGAAGTGTGCCCGGCCAACTGGAATCCAGATACCAATCCTGACACCATCAAACCCACAGTTCAAGCATCCAAAGATTACTTCCAGAAGCACGGATAAGCTTATCTCATGACCTAGGTCAGTAATAACCATGATTTTATTACCATCCCTGCTGTGGAAGCATAAATAAAGAGATTTGGTAGAAAAATAGATTTTCCTATAGGAAAACAATGTTTTCTGAGCGAATCAAGGATCAGAATAAAACACAGATTGACTAATTGAATAAAAGGGATAAAAGGTAAGTGGATAAAAAAAAAACTAATAGAATTTTAAACTTTTGATTCTGGCTTATCCGATGGAAGATTGGCTGAGAATTACATTTCGTTTCTGGAAAATTCCAAAATGCATTTTCCGACCATTCATAAACTATGTTCACTGATATTGATGTATACCTAGTTTGCCTCTGGAGGCATTCCAAACGAAAAATACCTGCGATGCAACGGCGGATAAGGGGAAAGTGGTGAGTACAAGCAACGAGTGCCAACTCCCCACCTTGGTGACAGTTGATGGTGAAAAAAGCCAGTTTGTTGCTGATCGCGAAGCATTTTGTGTTTTTTCTCCTTTGTGAAACTGAAAACAGTGGTTTTCTCACTTTGTCGTGCCCCGAAATAATATAAAACTGTAATGTAGCACTTGAGCAAGTGACATCCCAGAGAATTACCGTGAAAAATGACTGAGCTGACGAAGGAGAATCTGCCAAAAAGTGGACGCGTGAACGCAGGTGAGATTTTTTCCACCTTCCCCGGGAGAGTTTCTTTCTCTCAGAAGGCGTTCAAATCAAAAGTAGCGCATTTGTTCGCTCTCTCAATGATTTTCCCATAATTACCGCGAGTCTTGCGAGAGATTTCTCCGTTCCATTTCTGACGTGTCGCGCCTGTTTAATCGTCCGTGAATTTTGGTGTGTTTTGCAGTGTGCAAGGAGTGGCTTGTCCGGGAAGATGGGGCGCTTGCCTATCAGCTGCAATCCCAAGAGATCAATGAGCACTACAAGGGGAATCGCTTCCGGAACGCTCTAGTGCGCCAGGATTATCCCACAGCGCTGCACGAGCAGATCAAGGAGAAGGAATACGCAGAGCGACAGGCAGCACTCTATCATCAAATGATTAACGAACAGTGAGTCGCCCTTTCTGCATTTAAACGGAAGCCCTGGGGCTCACGAGACCGTTTCCATTGCTTGCTAGTTGGGATTAATTCAAAACACGCTTATCAGTTGAGTGTTATCAGGGCTCTCTTAACTTGTTTCCAGTGCGTTAAGAGAATTCAGAAGGCATTTTTTAATCACTTGAGCACACAGAAACGACCTTCAGTTTATTTAAATGACTCAGAATTTGTGCTTTTCTTTCCAATTCTCTAACCACTTTGCCGTCTTCGTAAAGTCATTCTCGAGACGCACGAAAATGTAATGCGGATTGAAGAGAGTTCATCATCCTCATACATTTACTTCTCGTCTTGAAATTTTATTAAGCCACAATTCATGCTAGAGAGACAATTAAAGGCCACGATAAATGGTGAATGTGTGGAAAGAGGTAAATAATTGCGCAAAGTGACGCGGAAGGGAAGAATGCAGTGAAAAACTGACCATTTATCACAACACTCGATCTCTTTTGCTTGAGTAGTGAAATGTGAGGCGATCTGTGAAATGTGAGACGTTTATTTGTTTGTTACGCTTTTCCAGGGAAGAGGCGGACGCGAGAGTGGCACGGGACTTGGCGAAGAAGCTGGATGTGGACGTGGAGAAGAGGCACCTCGTGAGTGAAGGTAAAGTTCAGGAGTACTTATGGAAATGATGGTATTTTCGTGACGCTCTGTGTCTCAATTTCAGCTCCACCGCTGCTGAAGAATGAACTGCCGATTCCGCCGAGGAATTCAAAGACGCAGCGACCAAATATCATTCAGCACACGCCACCAATTGACGCGCCAATTGAACGGATGCCGGCGAGTGCTCAGCTGAACTATGCTCAATTGGATCTGCCACGACCGTCGACATCGTCATCATCCACGTACGACACGGTGTACAATGCACGCAAAATGCCTTCGCTGGACGATTGCCCAGTGAATCTGCAGTCGCACACACCAGAAAAGGTCTTGGCACCGCCACTGCCGCGCCGGGAGAATCACTTTGACGCCTTCGAGCAGAATCTCAACGGTGTGGCGCACTGCAGCAAGCACTATGATGATGAGGCGGAGGAGAATTGCAACTTCCAGAAGCTCTCGCCGGCCAAGTTCGACTACTTGATGGGCAACAAGCCCTCGTGCTCAGCAGATGATCCCATTGAGACGCTGCGGGATCTGGGATTGCCACCTGAGGAGATCCAAGAGATTGACAGGCGTGCCAGGCAGGAGAGAAAGGATGAGGAACTCGCCAGGCAACTCCAAGAGCAGCTGACGTGTGAAGTGAGCCAGGAGGAGCGTGATAGGATTGTGGCAATGGAGGCGCAAGATAAGGAACTTGCCCGGATGCTGCAGGATCGGGAGAGGGCCAAGGCGAAGAGGGCGAAGGAGAGGGCACGTCTCAAGAAGCAACAGCAGCAGCAGGAAGAAGAAGAGGCCGCCAGAGGAATAGAGAAGCCTCCGATGATGCATGAGTCCGATGGGGACTCTTATGCCAATCCAGTGGACTTCATTGAGAATAATCACGGACATCAGGAGTATCAGCGAGAGCAGTTTGGGAGAAGTTCGCAACTGAACAGCGATGAAAACTACTCGAATCCAGTTGACATGCTCATGCAGTCGTCCAACGACACTGACCAGGTCAAAGTGTCTATTAACATAAAGAAACAAACGGCTGGAGCGAAGAAGCAAGATGATCAGTTTGGATATTCAATGTCGGGTGAGTTGAAATGAGGATAAACACTTCTTAACTTTATGCGATGTTGGGATCGATTAATTTGTTCTTGGTTTCTCATGTTTCGCGACACTGATTTTTATCAGGCGCTCACAGTGAATTGCTGTGAAATCCCATCTTCTAATGAGCATGTTTCTTGTGTAGACTATTGTTAACCTTGCACTTTGCCGGTGACTTTCTCTCAAAGTGACGTGAAAATTACCACACAAAGTCAATGTAAATGAGTACAGAAGAAGTTACCATTGATTGAAATATGGTGTGAATGAATTGCGCTCCACTTTCTAGGATCATCGAGTGCCAACAACTATCAGGGACCGTCGAGGCCCAATCATTTGGACATCAGAGGTCCGATCAATCGACCGGCCGCGCCGAGAGCTCATTTGCCGGAGGGCATCGAGAATATTGCCACAATCATCGATCCCACGTATCAGCACAGTGCGAACTCCACGCCCGGAAGCGCCTTGACGCCGCCGGAAATGTCAGCAGAATTCTCAGATCATAGCTCCAGTCCAGTGCCTCCATACATGCCAATCCAGGGCTCGCGTCGGACAACGTCCCTGGAGCATAAGAAGAAGAAATCAAAAGATAAGTGTGCTCATCAGTAACTCCAATAAGTATTTTATATTTTATACTCTCTTTTTGACCATTTTTTTGCGCTAATTTTATACACACTCCGTTTTTATTGTAATTGAGTAGTTCACTCAAATGATACTGCCTTTTGTGTATCCAGCAGTGAAGATTACTCACTTTCCGAATAGATATTAAAAGTAATATTATTGCATTGGAAATGAGAATGTTTAATATAGTTATCTCTCCCTGACCGTACGTTAGTTACAAAAGAAGCCTTGAAGCGACGCAAACGATTACTTATTCAGAATGTGCTCGATCATTTTCTCGCTCAGTTCCCACACCTTCTCGGACATCTGGTCGTTCTGGGATAATTGACTGGGCTCACAGAAGAAACAGTTGTTGAAATAGATGCCAGTCAAGCCTGTCAATTCAGGTGCCACAGCGCAGTAAATTGTCGTGCTGGCCGCTTGTTGCTAGAAAAAGGCGCGATTTTAGTGGGTAACAAATGAACTTTACTGGGTAAAAATCTCACCAGGGACTTCGTGAAGGGTCGCACGAGGGCGAAGAAGAAGCGAAAGAGCCACCAGTGACGACTGATACTGGTGGAAACCAAATTCCCCGGATGGCAGACGAACACGGAAATGCCGCGGTTTTGCCAGCGCTTTCCCAACTCCCGAGCAAAGAGCACATTGCACAGCTTGGAGTTGTTGTAGGCCATCATGCTGCTGTACTTCGCCTCGGACACGGACAAGCTGTGCTCCGACAAGCCCTCGAGTTTCAGATTGCTGAACCTGTGCGACTCCGAGGACAGCACGACGACACGTGAGGTGTGATCCAGCAAGTCCGCGAGCAGCATCGTGAGATGGAAGTGTGAAAGATGGTTCACTTGGAAGGTGATCTCGAGGCCATCCGGAGTGACGGTGTGACTCGTGCCCATGACGCCGGCGTTGAGGATGAGAAAGTCCACGTGCTTGAACTGCATCTTAATCATTGTCTCGAAGTGCTTGCACGAGGCGAGACTGGTCAGGTCCAGCGGGCGGAAGTGCAGGAGACGCGCCGCGTGGGGACGCTCTTGGCCGATGCGCTGAATGGCCTCTTCAGTGGACTCCTGGTTGCGATTGGCCATGATAACGGTGCATCCGTGGAAGGCCAACGATTTGGCTGTCTCATAGCCGATGCCCACATTGCTGCCAGTCACGATAGCCAGCTTTCCAGACAAATCCCGCCCATGGAGGATCTGCAGTGCCGTGCTGGAGCCATCGAAGCGCTGTCGAATCTCACTGATGCTCGGCGGAACTTCCTCAATGGCAAATGCCAAACGAGGATCAATGTACGTCGTCGTCTTGTTGTTGTGATCAATGAAGATCACCTTCCCAGTTTTCTCCTCGATCTTCCTCTCCCAGCCCATTGGCAGCTCTCCGGCCACTTTCTTGATCTTCCCCGTGCGCGGATGCGTCCACTGAGTGCTCTTGCTCTGGTGACTGCAAGTAGAGATTGGAGATGATGTGCGCAATTAGGTGGAAAAATGGAGGCATTGGTGAGTGAAGAATGCAATTTAGATATTTATCAGGAAATTAGTCAAATTACTACCTCAAATTAGTATTTTAAGTTTGAACAATTTTAATTTGCATTGCAAGATTAATGATATTTCTCTATTATTTGCATTTGCAATGATCTACACTTCGGTGGATTTGTGAGTTATTCAAATAAGGGAAAATTGGAGTGTTTTAGAAGTTTTAAAGGTAGGAATAATTGAAACCTTTGAGAATGATTTATAAGGCGAGAATGAGCTAGTTCTCACTTTCTGAGGAAATGTGTAAGAATGTTTAAACCTACAATTGTGTGCTCAAAACTGCGCCGCTTTGCCCTACTATTGATATATTTAGATGTCATCAACCGCACAATTTTCTGAAGATTTCCAGAGCAATATAATTTCTCTTCAATATATATTTCAAATGAATGCATTTTAGAGCATTTTTCTCATATAATAAAAGCTTGCACAATACGATAATTTAGTAAATATTGACAAAATTGTACACCACAGAAAGTAACAGTGATAGTGAGATCATCACGTATCAGAGCGAAAAACCACTACGAGGCGTGACTACTTTTTGATCACTTCTAATTATGCCCATTTAGAAATTCCCTTTTCCTTACTTCACATAATAGACGTATCCATCGTTTGTTGCTCTTTCCTCCCACGCCGGAGGCAATTCATCCTCTGAATCAGAATCCTGGCCAAGAGACATTTTCATCTTAGAATATGGGAAAACCCGCCAAAACTACTTCACACTTTGAATGTTGGTCTAACACTGATCAATTCTGGGGAATTTCTCGAGAATCATCGGAAAAATTCACACAATTATTAAGTGCAAAATTGAAGTAATTATTTTGCATGAATGAAAAGGTAAACAAACACGGATCTCTTGCTGTCAGTTGCTCCAACTCCGGTGTGGCGATTGCAGCGCCAATTTCTCACACACACACTTGTTGGCGCCGTCTGTCTACAGGTGGCAGCACAATAGACGAGTAGTTTGGCTACATAACCTCAGAAATTCATGCGGACGCCGTGGAAAATCTGTCTGAAGACTCGGTTTTTCTCTGTGATTTTACTCAATCAAAGTGAACACAAACAGTATCCAGTCATGCTGTGTCCAGATATGTGGAATTTGCCACAACCAAAGTACAGTTACGAGGCGAATAGCTTCAAACGACACATCATAGAGAAGAAAGTATCGTCCGGGAACTTCTGTGAATATGTGAGTGTTGGTTGCTTTTCCCACGAAAGTCGATTTTTCCCCAATTCACGAGAGATCACGGGCTGTTGCGTGCAGTCGGGTCCACTTGACCCGATGTATTGCGAAAATTGTAAAAATAACCAACAGTGGGCGTGACTGACTTTTTCTCATAAGCAGGAAAATTTTCAATTGCGATTTATTCTTCAGATCACCATCGTGATTCCAGGCGATTTCCCACATCCTGAATCCGCGGAAAACGCTCTGCGGGGCAGTGACTCTTACACAGTAAAGGAACTGCCTTTGACGGAGTTTCTGGAGCCGGAATTCATTGAGGGATTCGCGAAGAGAGGTGAGTTTTTAGACATCTTCTGCCAAAGAACAAATGCTGATTGTGGATTTCCCGGATTTCCCTGCAGGAAAATTTTATGGACTGTCTCTGAAGCAGGATAACGAAGCTGATTGTTGTGTGGCACTCACACCAAACGGATATCTTAGCATTGCCGTGAACAGGGACACTTTCGAGTCCATTCAACTCACCGGGAAGCCTATTCAGACCTCGAGGAAGTCCAAGGACCGCTATCGTGAGTACTTCAATGTTTCTTGCATGAAAGTGGCCAGACGGAAGTCACTCGAGATTGTCAGGAAAATGTATCTATTTTCTGCCTCAATGCAAGAAATGGTTCAATTTTACGAGTGAAATTGTCTGGTCACTTTATCTCTGTCTTGTATGTAGAAGCCGAAATGTAGCTTATGAGTGTTGTGTGCTGTGCGGGTTTAGAAGTGACTGGACGCCCTCTTTGCAGGGTTAACCGGGTGGGATGCCCAAAACCCGTCAGCCTGCCCTCCTGGGCGTTCTGTCGCTGCGGGCCGTGGCCTCGTGGCTGTGCAGCCTAGCCAAGCAGTATATGCCGGTGATCGCACAGATCTCCAAGGTGAATGTCCAGGAAGCTGCCATCATCCTCAAGGGCAAAATGGTGCTACTACACGACCTGTTTGAGTACAATGTACCCTTTTGTCTGTACGACAAGTTGGCTGAGGAGATGTATCTGGCCATTCCGCAGTTGATTGACAATATCAAGAGTCGCCAGGAGTTGAATTCTTCAATGGGGAAGTTCCTGAGTGAAGTGAATGTTGCCGTGTCGCTCACAGAGGTTCTGCTGTCTTCCAATCTGCAGACGCTGAATTTCGATCGCGTCCCGAAGATGATGAGACACATTTTCTACATGAAGCTGGATCAGTTGACAGGATTGAAGTCTCTTGATCTCGGATCACTGTCCGGTGGGTGGAAGACGCAGGATATGGAGCCGACGGTGTTGAATGGCATACTGAATATGAAGCATTTGCGATCGATTTGCATAAATTACGATGCAACTGATAATATTATCAAGTGTTTGGGCGAGTGTTGTCCAGATCTTATGGCTATTGACTTCAGTTCATCGAAATGCATCACAAATGCCAGTGTGGAATTACTGATGTCGCTGCGATGTCTCAAGAGGGTGATCTTGTACAGAACTTCGGTCACGATGGAGGGATATATTAAGCTGTTGCTGAATTTGCCCAGGATTGAGGATCTGGGCAGATATGATGATCTTGGACGCTGTCTGTCCTACATTGACACATACTATCCGGACCAGGAGGAATTGCAGCTCACCAAGTTTATCAGTCACTACGCAACAACTGAACATCTGCAGATTCTGGGCAGACTCTGTCCGAGACTTCACACAGTTTCCTTGTTTCACAACGCTCTTCTGGTCGATCTGATGACGTTGATTGCCATTGATGAACTCAAGGATCTGAAGCTGCTGTCGGCGGACTTCTTCGCTGACCAGATTCGTCATGTGCTGGAAGTGAAGGGCTGCAATTTGACACACTTGCATCTTGAGCATGTGGATGAGATTGACATGAATGCATTGATCTACATCAGTCAATTCTGTCCGGATCTCAAGTCTTTCGTCATCTACAATTGTGAATTGGTGGACAGCACATCGTTGTGCATGAGGCGTTTCCCAATTCCACCCTACATGAATCTCGAGCGACTGACCATCGCCGCGTCGTGCAAGTTTTGGCATCTGGACTTTTTGCTCGCAACGGCTCTCAAAATACGCTACATATACGTGGGCACGATGGTTCCAACGGACGATGACCTCATCGCTCACGTGCTTATGAAGAATCCCATGCCGAATCTTGAGGAATTCAGAGTGATCTTCTCAGATGCACTGACCATCAATTCGGCCTACAAGCTGGCCAACTGTTGCAGCAACTTGCAAAGACTCACAGAACTTGAGAGCTGGACAAAGATCAGTGAGCCTGAATTGACGGAGTTCAAGAAGTACATCAAAGTGAGGAATATGGATTTGGACATCAAATCGCAGAAATTCTCTGCTGATTCCTGAAGAAAATACTTTTCATGTTTTCAGTATAATAAAGCTATCAAATACTCTTATCATTCGGTGTCAATTAGCGGCAATTTCACACACACTCACACTCTCTTTTCAGTCTGCGAGATCAATATGAAAGATGACGCGCTGCTTAGGGACACTACCAAGCGAAGGATTATTATCAGGGCGCTGGAAAGACTGCCAGTTATGGATTTTCAATTCTCTTGGACACCAACTGGGAAGATGATCTGTCCCTCATCAGTGGCTCAATACTTTTCCAATCGGGGATTTACAGTGAATCTCTGTCCAACTAAGCGAAAAGAGAATGTCGTGTTCCCAGGGAGGATTCCCAGGATGATCATCAAAGAGCAGGAAGAACCAAAAGCTGATTTTGATGTAAGAGTTGCCGAGTTCCTGGAATTTGTCGGTCTTTTGGCTATGGATTGTTCCACAAAAGATGATGAATTCTTGAGTTCTTACACCTTCTCAGGATCCACGGAAAACACATCGAAGGTTACAGTGATCAAGTGGAAGGGAATGTTCACTAAGTATCTCCTGAACAGAGTCTTCAGATGGCTAGAGTGAGTATTTTATCAGAAGATTCTTACAGGTAACAAAAAGAATCTTAATATTGTGCGATTTTCTTTGCATTTATCCCCCACAGAACTTACCTTTTGCGCTTCCCAGCCATATCCTGGATTGTGCTCAATGTGGAGAAGAGTTCAGGGACACCCTTTGTGGATGGATTTAGTGACAGAACCTTCAGTATCGCCAACGATAGTTCATATGCGGTTATATTAGCGCCAAAGAAAGATTATATTTGGCATCAAATCATCCCCATCGACAAGAAATTCTAGATGCTACTTGTTATTGCGCCTGCTGTTAACGTATTCGTGATTACGGAGCCAATCCTTGATGTGACCACGATTCCTCAGCATCGCAGACTTGGAGTTGACGTCGCGCGCCACAAAAGGTGAGAATCCAGCTGTATAATCCTCATGCATAGCGTCTGTCTTCGTGCGAGCTACGCGAGAGGGCATTTGATGTGGCATCGGCTGATCTTCTACAAGCAAGAGATTTCGGGAATGCTTCCCGCCACGCGGCAGTGGCACAGAGACGTTCTTGCCCTTTGCTGTGATGGGTTTCCGGAAGTTTATGTGCACCTGAGGAGCGATAGGGAAGAATATAGACTCAGAAAATTTGAAAAAATTAGTGAGAATCTTACCACTTGTTGACCATTTTCGTCGATGCTCACGGCGCATCTCTTCAGTGTCTTGTTCCCACACTTGGGGCAGAACATCTTGTGCATAAGCGTGGTGATTTTGAAGCAGGTGTAGCAGCGAAGGACGAACATCCTCGAGTGACGGATCATGCGACCGTCCAAGGCACACAAATTGAGACCGATTTGCTTCAGGAGGTTTTGAACTGAGTAATCTGTAGAAACGCAGGCAACAATCGCTGGCTTCTCATCCTTCTCATCAAATCCCATGTCTTTCTTAAGCTGACCAATGTTTGAGGGCGTTATCCAGCCCTCATCATCATCGTCTGAAGCCTCTTCTTCGACTTCTTCCTCTTCTTCTTCGGAGTCTTCATGCTTCTTCAGGATTTCATCACAATTCAAGTCATTGAAGTCATCTGTGAGCTGCTTCACTTGATCGTCTTCCCCATCAGATGTTTCTGGAACGTCTTGAAGGTCTTCAGCTTCCTGATCTTCTTGGACTCCTTGATTTTCTTGCTCTTCTTGATCGCTTTCCGGAAGGGCTTTCTCTGCTGGCAATTCATTGGTTTCGCTCTCCTTCGGCATGTAGAATCCCATCAGTTTGCTGTTCTCCAAACCATTCTTCTCTGGTTTCTTGATAATTGTCTTTGACGCTAGAGGTTCCTGCCTCAGATGCTCAGTGCCCACATATTCCTTTTCCAGTTGGTAAGTCAGGGCCACAACTTTTAAGTCCACTGCAGATAAACTGGCATAGTCTCCTGTTTTCTTCGCAAACTCTCGCACGTACGTGAGATTCTCCTGAGTGGGCACTAGAACCTCCAGTTCGAATGGGAGCACCACAAGTCTCCGGAGCTGACGTTTATTCTTGATCTCATCCAGAACTTCTGTGATTGTCACCACTTTCTCAGCAAGATCCTGATAAAAATATATAATTACACCTATTGGAAATTATTCACCGATGTCTCAACTCACCTGTAGAGGTGCATTTTCAATGAATGCAGCGGTATCTGCTACTAAAAACTTGATTTTCGTACCCATTTTCACGACAGTAGTACAAGCGCGCACGTGGAAATGAAAACAACGCACTGACCGCACTGACACTGTGTGTTTCTCTCATTCTTCGCATTGCGCGCTGGTGTCGATAGAGGGAATTCCGCCAAAAATCAAAAACCATATATTCGGTAAAATATGAAACAGTGTGTATTTTTACATTAAAAAATAACCAAGTACAAAGAGATAGTCAACAGAGACGCTAGGTTTGTTAAAACTTGGATAAATTTAGCTATTTTATGTGCGCTAAACTCTCTTCAATGTCTTCTCAATGTTGCGATACAACTTCGAGGGAATGATCTCGAGAAGGAGTTTTCCGTACTGCTGATGTCCAGACAGGAGCTTAAACATGTGCTTGGCATAGTTTCGTGTCTCTAGACTGCCCTCGGTGAGGAGATTTGCTCCGGTGAGAATGACTTTGTCTCTGACTTCACGGTTGGCGCTGAAGATTTTCTCATATCCCACATTGTCCACGACTTTGGTGAGGAGCATCGCTGTCGTGGTGCGAACAATAGCATTGGGATGTGTGGCTCCGCGGGATGTTAGTAAGTGGATCACTTTGCCCATCGTGAGGTTTTCACACATCAATTCTAGGGCTTTAGTGGCGTCACTGCGTAGGAATTTGTTAGTGTCTGCAGTTCGGTGGAGAAGAGTGGTCACGAGATCGTCTGCCTCCTGTTCCAGGGCTCGTCGGTGTGTGGTGAAGAACTCTCCGGCTGCCTGGCATGCTGCTCTGGCTACTTGAGAGCGGAGATTGCGGACGTGCTTGGCCAGAATACCAGCTAAGAGGTGGATTTGTGAATCCACGAGATCGGGATGATGTCTAATCAGCCGGACAAAATTTTTGAGACCCGTCATTGAATTTTCCCAACTTGGGCTCTCCAGTTGATTCAGAGTGAGCGCGAAGGCTTCTTTGGGCTTGTCAAAGCGTCTCATTGTTGGTGGATAGAGCTCCAGACTTTTTGTGCGGCATCCAACAAGATTAGGCGTTGTCTTGAGGGGTGACACTTTACGGGAGCGTCGCAGAATGGGTGGCCGAGTGATCTGGAAATAAAAGAGGCACAGATAAGCAATTTGAGGCGATTGAATAATTTAGAGACAAGGAATCACCTTGCTTGGCGCTGACTTGGACTCCGCGACAAAGGGAAGAACTTGGGGATCAAATGGACGTTCCACAGCAGATGAGGCGTGGTCTATCTCATCAGTAGCGCCCACTTCGGATTGAGAGCTGCTGGTGCACTTGCTGTCTCCATCCTCAGGTTGACTGTCCAGATGTGTTAAAGCGTTGGATTCGTCCAACTCGTGTCGCTTCTGTAAGACATTCAGGGCTGCCTCAATGGTCTCGTCGACTTCTGATGAGGCCCCGACGGAGTTTGTAGACATAACTTCAGCCTCGAGTGGGATGGTCGGTGAGGTTGGACGTGTTTCTGATCCCACGGGAGTCAGGGAGTCCGCCAGCAGATTCTCCCTGAGACTATGACTTGTGACTGGACGGGAGGCGCTGTGAATGGGCCGATGATCGAGAGAATGGGCAGATTGGGCACGTGAAGGCATAGCGTCGTTGTCCACAAATGGCTCTTCTTCTGTCTTCAGCTCCAAACTTCCAGTGCTAACAACTCGAGTTGGCGTGGAGTGAGGAGACAAGTTGCTGGACTTCTCATTAGACGATGTGACACTGCTTCTATCCTCCTCATCCTCTTCCCGAGCAGTGGTGATTGATGAGGTCAGCTGATCTGCCACCACGGCAGCAGCAGCTGCCACAATGTCCGGCTGGGCGGCTGTGGAGAAACGACCCAGAATCGCTGGCCCACCGTTCGCTCCACTTCCGGAAATAGGTCCTTGTTCCGCTTCCTCGTGCGCCTGCGTGTCCGTATGTTGATATTTATTACTGCGAAAAAGAGGGAAGAACGGAAAAGCGGGAATAAATATATTCAGTTCTTCTCAAATGGTTTGCCGTTGTGATTGAAATGCAATTTATCGATCCTTTATCTTAGTTCAATTATTAATCTCCACGTAAGAGAGGACTCACAAATCATCGTATGTTGCTGTAAAAGTCAAGGATATTACACTAAAAGCTTGATGGCAAACAGAGTTCCGTGCTTTCATATTTCCCCCATGAATTGTTGATATAAAGCTCGCATGTTTGCTGAATTCTCGCAAAAGTATGTGCGAAAGTTGCAATCACTTAAAATGGCACCTAAGCAACATTAAGTTTGAGAAGCGCCCACTCAAGCCCAGTCAAAATATTAGGTCAGTTCCTTATCAGCTTTTAAATTAATTTCCCCTCGTGAGCCAAAGTGTTCGGTGCGACAATAGACTTTTCCACTATCGAGGGAGATAATTTAGCGCCTTTCTTTGGCCTCTTCGTCACGCAGAAAAGGAGGACTTAACATTGATTCAACCCTGACGAAGAGCTTTCTCGCCGAGTCAGAGGTGAAAAATGACTTGGACATTCGGGGAAATGGCGAGGAAAGTGTGGGAAATTCGGTGAAAGTGGGTCGCATTATGTGGGTGGCCAAGGCTTTTACCTCTTCAACGTACTCTTAGGCTCGTGTCAATCATTTGTCGCACAATTGCATTACTTCCCATACAAATATCATTTTCTATGCTCAGTCTTGTTTGTTTGCAGACCGAGCAAAGCGGATATGTAAAGCATATAAAATACAAAATGCGTACAATTAAAGAAAAAATTGTAAATACAGCCAAGAAAAGAAAATTTGTCCTTTTCTATAATTCACCCATGAAGTGTTTCTATTGTAAAACACCATATCTTAGCGCAAGATTTGAAATAATTGGGAGATCTTCATTTCCAATTATTTCTTTCTTTATCATTTGTAGGTAGGTATGATCTAATCTGGACTCAAATGTCTTGATAATGATTAGTCTGTTCAGTTTTCGAGCACTTTGCCGAGCGTTAACACCTTCTCTTCACCCACTAATGTGATGATCGATTGGACATACGGTTCAGCGGCGATACAGATAGGAATAATTGGAGTGCCGTTGGTGTCTTCTTGGGGGTCGTCTTCCTCATTCTCCGGGACCGCGTGAGGGCAACTGTGGGGCTGATCGTCGTCGTGACTTCGCGGCTGCACCACAATCACTTGTTCGGGCGATTGGACTGAATTGTGGCGCCAGAATTGATTCCACGACTGCAGAATCTCCTCCACTTGCTCCTTGGCGCTGCTAAGCTTCTCGCGCGAGTGCTTTCGCACCTTCTCGAGGGTTTCCCTCTGCACGGGTGCGTCACAACAGAAGCAAGTTGAGGGCACCATTATTTTAGATGTTGCACTTGTCTCCCATTGGCGGGAAACTGCGTCCCTGCGAGATTAGAGCACTTGAAAGGGCACATTTGCTAGAGTTCTGGCCATTCTCACTTAGCGTGCGGAGGCAATTCGCACTGTCTCGTTGCTGGACACTGACTGAAGTAACTGAGGGTGAGCGAGGCCTTTCGTGGCTGAGGTCTATAGGGCGTCCATTAACACTGAATCCAAGCTACGTCACGACGGAGCCGCGAAACACTTCGCGTCGCGGCGTTTGTTGTGTAAATGGGGAATTTCTATGGAAATTGGCCTCGCGACGGCTTCTCACCTGGAGGGACTGAGAGGGTGGTGATTGTTGTTTTCCCTCCCAAGAGAGTGTTTGCGCGCTCTCTCTCTCTCTCTCTCTCTATCTCTCTGCTTCCTCCTACTCAATTTCCATGCCAAACAATATTTGCAAATACTCAACACAGGGATTTTCACGAGCAAAACTTTCACCCACACTTTTCCACCCCTGGGTTTTCCATGGTGCCGCGAATTAATCATAAATCTATAGTTCTTCACACCGTGAGCGCAAGCATTGAATTGAATTTCCACTTTCTCTCTTTTCTCCGTCGCTTTTCTCGTAATGGGTGAAAGAGAGGTGTTTGCCCAACATCAATAAAAATGGTTATAATTCAAATAAGTCCCTCATCAATAAACCACCTAGGAAAGTGCGCAACAAGAGAGAGAAAATGGTCTGATAGACGCTTTCGAGTAAATAATTCATTTGTGGCATTTTCTGAGTACCCTAACGAATTTTCTCTTGAATATTTATTAGCTATATATTGCTGGAGACTGCAAAAGAGCTTGAGGAACTCGCGTTTTTACCTACTATTTTTAACACATGCCCCTCACCAGTTCTTTTCTCATGAAATGCGAGATTAATTTGGATGATAAAAAGAATAACACTATTCAACGCGAAAAACAATTCCAGAAAGTTTTTACCGTGTTAACGTATCAACTTGCGTATCAAAGTAAATCTGGGCTGTTTCCCACTTTTCACCACTCATTTCCAGTTGGCGAGTGATACATATGAAATGGAGCAAAGAAATAAACAAAAAAGGAGGAATAATTATGCGAGAATGTACTGAGAAGTTAATTATTCTTCTCTATTGAAAAACTTGTAATATTTTCTCATAAAATGCCATATGGCAATAAACTCAAGAAAGGCTCGGAAGAAGAGCCTATTTTTATGTATCTTGACGATTTTAATGTTAGATTTACCTATTTTTGGAAATCATTCATGTTAAGGTCGAAGTTCTCAGAGAAATTTTTGACTTCGATTGATTGTTGTTGTGTTATTGTTATTGACAAAGAACTCGCAAAGGTTATTCGAGAATGTTATCTATTTATAATAAGTCATACGCTTTTGAGGAGAAAAGAGATTTTATCATAAGGTAGGCAAAAATACTGTATATACTTTTAATATCTAAATCTCGCTTCGGTATTTTTATCTATTTTTATTATCTTCGATTAAGGAAAAAAATAAATTACAGAAATTTGGATGCAACATGATATAATTTCTGATCTATTTCTTTAGTTTTCAGCAAAAATGAAACCTTATAAAAATACTTTCGTGTTTCAAGTTGACTCCAATATTAGGGGAAATGCGTCCTGAAAAATACCTTAATTCTCATTAATTGAAACACTACTTTCCCTGATTTTCTTCACCCACGCAATGCTTTTTCGATAGACTTTTCGGATAACAATGCTCTGATGGTAATGAGTGGAAAAAGAGGACAAAACACTGTGATAGTGTCAATCAGAATGAAAAAGAGCTTTCCGCAGTGGAGGCGCCTGGTGCTCACCTGGCATTATCGCTCTGTCTCTCTGGTACGGCATTGAGTCGTTCTGGCACACTAAATCTCTTAGTCAGTGCAGATTTTTCCAATGCAGGATGCGTGACTGGACGATGGGATTCTGCTAAGGAGCTCTGAATGGTCGGAGTGCCTGGAAAGAGGATAAAGTGTTAATTAAAAGGTTTCGTTTACACGACTAAATGTCACCTTGAGGATCCGTCATCGTTCCACTCTTTTGTTGAGGAATCCGAATGAAGGAGACACGATTGCTGAGGCCAGCATAAGGGTTGTCAATGGTTCCTCTGCTGCTGCTCTCACCGTTTCGACCACTGTCCATTGCTGGAAATCTGCGAAAAGACATACAGCAGTGGCCATGAACACTTTGGCCCAATTCCCCTTGTGCAATTGACTGAGAAAATCAATTGCAAGCTGATAAATTTTTCACGACTATAAGCTACAGTGTTTCAAATGGGTTCAAAATAATTAATAATGCATCACGAGAAAGTATGACAGCAAGAGGATAATGGGGACATGTGGAGAAGAGATCTAATTCCCACAGAAAACACTGGCTTGAGTCTCTTTTCTCAGTCTCTACCTCGAAGCCACGGGAAGTTTTGAAGGTCGCGGAATTTCCATAAATTCCAGCGTCGTGTTTGATGGTCGAGAAGTGGTTTTCTGACTTCCTGCCACCTCGGCTTTCGATAGTTCGGGAAAGGAGTGAGCCTGGAGGTGCTGTGATTGATACTGGTGCGATCGAAAGCCACCTGAAAGGTATCACAGAGTCACATTATGCTTCCAAGGACATTATTTTAAGCGGAAACTCACCATTTGATATCGGTGGCATTTGCTGATGGACAGGAATTGCTGTCGCTACGATAAATTGGCCGTTCCTATCATTATCCTGAGGAGAGAGAGACAGAGAAGCAGAGGGCTTTTTGAGAGAAATCAATAAAACGACTCGCATTTATTTTTAAACCATCACTGCGAGCTTTGCATGCAGAAAAAGCTCGCTTCTAATTTGACGATTGTGTGACGCGACAGACGACGAATGACCTAATAAATATTCATTTACTTTATGGGATTCTCTTTTATACTTTTAGGGAGAATGTCGAGACAGCTGATGGAAGATTGTATGGGATCAAGGACGACTTCTTCAATCCAGCGACAAGGTCAGTGGTAATTTTTCTACTCACAAAGTATCGTTTTAGGGAATCTGGTGTGTAACCAATAATGCGACACAGTAGCAAATTAACGTACATAGCACTAGATCACAACGTTCAGTGATGTGGGAGGAAAAAAAAATAGAGAACAGCTGTAAAAAACAGCAACAAAGGACTACGGTTCACGTTCGACTAATCCTCAAATTCAGCTCACGAGGAAATTTATTTAATTCACCACGAAACTGTGCACATTGCATGATCGATAGAGTTTTCTCTATATAACTGAGCAATTTGTTTATATATTTCATTTCACCATTCAGTGGATATGAGCACGAAGAACTCATATTATCTAATGCGCAAGGGGTTGTATGAATTGTTAATGAAAGCGTGTGTGGCGAAGGTTTCGCCACTGACAATTGAGAGGTGAAATTTTGATTGATTTTCGAATGTATTTTGCCTTAGGGCAAATGATTAATGTTGATTTTTTCACTATAATGTACACTAAGAAGCGAGAGTGTTTTTATTTTTCTATCTTAAACACATTTAACAAGCATTGTTCAAGTTTTATAAAAAGAAATTTACACTAAATGTGAATCAGGGAAGAAATGGGAAAAAACAAGAATATTTTAAATAAAATTGAAGAATTAGTCTAATAATATTTTTAGTAATGGCAACAAAAACTGCTTACATAAATAGCACGTGGACAAAATTGATTTTATTTCTTGTTTGATTATATGCCTGAAAATTCTGTTCTAATCCTTCTCGTTCTATTCTATACATAAATTCTGAACTTAGCCAAAGCATCCTCACGTAAAAAAAACAAACATTCTTCGACAGTGTGAGCGAGACTGGGAAAAAGTTGAGAACATTACCATAAAATGTAAATTGTGTCAGTGTACACACCTTGGTCCTTGAAGATCCACTGTCGAAGGTGGTATTTTGGGTGTCATGATGTACTTTACCGCCCCCGCTCTCTTGAGACATTTTCATGCGCCTCGCCAGAAAGTAGTTCGTCTGTGTCGATTCCTCGGCAATTGACCTAGAATATTCAAACACGCTGACATAAATTACTGATGCACCTCTAAATTCAATTGTGTGATGGCTTAGATCAATTTGCAGACTTTCTGACCCCGTCCATCCCTTCCTTAATACAATGTAATATCGATTAGGGTGAGGGTCTTTTTTCCTGATTGAATGCAGGGTGTGTCCATTTACCGGTTATTAGAGTCATCGGGTTGGCTGGCCTGCGCTTGGACTCTCTGTGACCTCTTCTTGAGCGATGTGGGCGACACGGAACCCACTCCTGATGTTATCCACTCAATGTCGGCGCCAAAGATTGAGAAATTCGCCTGTGGACTGGGCAGTTTTAGGCCGTACTGCACTGAGCCATCGCCTCGGATCATTGGCAGTTGCTTCCTGGCCAATCTCGCCTTCACGGCAGCACTCAGAGCATTTCCATCCGTTCTTGTGGCCGCAATGCCATTCACCACGTCCATCACAACTTTTGGAGAACTTATCTGACCAAGAACGGCGAGAACATCCAAGGCACCCTAGAAAATAAGAGACAATGTGTCATTGTAAGTAAATTGTCGTTACAGGAAACCTTTCTCACCTGGCGGACTCTCTTCTTGGGATCGATGGCTGCCTGTGTGGCGCGCATCACGCACGTGGCCACATCGAAGTATGTGCTGGGGAATGTCATGAGGGCGTAGAGCACCATTTGAAGGGCATTCTCGCGAAACTGTGAAAATGCAAATTGAAATTGATTAAAATCACAGTGTGAGTGAAGTCATGTTAAATTTAATTTGATCATAAATTATTCAGAGGCTAAAAAAGGCCAGCCAAAAACTCTCATTAGCGAAAATAGAAGCTCCTCCTATGCATGCTCTTAGGCGCAAGAAATGGTATTATTATGATGAATTTGGCACGAAATGTTTCACCTTAGAACTTTTGGCGCTGAGAAATTCGTCCGAAAGGAGACGAAGAACGATAGCAGCTGGAGGGAGTCTCTGCATCAGAGCTTTGGCCACACTGTTGCCTGTCGATCCACCTTGACGGCAAAGTCCCATCACGATCTGTCCAGTGCGATTCTCTAGATTCTCCAGGGGAAGTCTCGAGATGAGATTCACGAGGATACGTCGTTTGTCTTCACACACATCCGGATGGCGTTCGGATGAGAGAAGAGTTCGCAGAAGGGAGTCTAGATAAGGCTGAACTGCGGCCAGGTTCTCCGATGATCGCAAGGCATCTTCCAATTTGTACAGAGCCCGCGATCGAAGACGCCAGTCCTGGAAGAAAAGTGAAGCATATCATGAATTCTACCCTCGAGGCTTTATACACTGCTTGGGGGTGGTACTCAATTTATGACGGTGATAGTTTGTCATAAAACTCGCACGCTATATCAATTTACTTGTCTTGTTGCATGTTTGAGATTTAAACAATTCCCCGCATCGAAAATGCGCTTCCTCATTCTTAGTGTCGGAAATTTGCCCTCTAGAGTGTCATCGTCCTCTCTGTACACATTGAATTGAATATTCAATTGTGATTTTGTCATCTGGCCTGGGTTTCATTAACCCTGAAACCGATTGGATTTTTTTGCTCAACATGTGAGAAAGGGTTCAATGGATACACAATAAATTGTTCAATTATTCAAACGACATTGATTTATTAGAGGAAATGTCTTTGACTGATTCGTGGGAAATTTAGCATATTCCACCTTTTCTTGCACAATGTGCAACACATTCTCAACCCCAGGTGAGGTTAAAAGGTTAATAATTTGCCTCCGCTGAGAGTATATGTAAAAAGCCGCACCATGAAATTATGCAGTGCCGGTGGAAAAAATGACGCTTTGATAAAGGGAAAGGAGAAAAAATGATAATATTCAGTGCGGGAAGTCAATAATTTAACACTCGCAAGTCACTTTACGGGGTTGGCAAATAATGGAAATGAATATATACGGATTGAAGAAACGGAAGTAGAAAAACACCCTCAACGGAGCATTTTATAAAGAGTGAAAAAAAATCCACACATGTAAGATGATTTTCCGGGGTTTCTTTCACCATCGGAAAACGAGGCGAGAAAGAGTGGATATAAGTTTGAAGAAAGTATGGCGTTTTGTGAGTAAATATTCAAAAAATATGAAATTTACCATGTAAGTGGGTCATTTAGGGAAACACATACACTTCAATCAATATACCATTGGGGTTGGACGTTTTTATTACACTTTTCTTCCCACGTGGATCACGAGTGGTTTCATGAAATATTTGCCACTCTTCAAACACTCCCACAAATCACCAGAAAATTCAGCACTTTTGTGGTGCGAGAGGGAGAATTGACACAGTTTTCCTTTACTTTTCGACAGCCGAGAAGTACATAACTTATTCACGAAATAAACAATATGTGCTCTCATATAAAAATTAAATAACACTATCGTGTGTGCTGAGGTGTTACGAAGGGACGGTTGTTGGGAATGGCATTCGTGGAGAAAATGGAGCTTACTAAATGGTCCATTTAGTCAGTGTTCCACTTTTCACTCTTGTATACCTGCTGTTTATAATTTATCGCAATCACGAAATTTATATCACTCATTTTCCACAAACCCTCGTATCGTTACGATATATCCGAGATATGCCAAAAGGGGGAAACTCACGGGTCAGGTGAAGGGAAAATTGTCCATGACTACTGACAGGGGCCTACAAATATGATTTTAATTGTTTTATGCGTGTAATTACACCAGTTTTCGTCATTTTTCGCTCCTTATGACAAATAAAGAATTTCCTGTTTTTCAACCTGATTTCGGGTTAACATTTCAATATCTTTCCTCTTCATCGATGAGGATATTTGTGTTGACTTCTTTGGAAAAGACTTTAACTTATAAAGTAATTCTCAACCTTTTTTTTCATGCTTATATTCTCTTTCATTATTGCTTGCATTCAAAAATTTGTAAAACAAATTTCCAGGACTGTTGTTTCACTAAAGAAAAACACAATGCATTTAGTGTGTCTCTGGAGCGGTAATTTTTCAGAAGTGGGTGCCAAGAAAATGGCAGGAAATGAGGAAAAGAGGCGAAGAAGGTGCAAACTTTGCAGTTGAGTGGAATGGGGAATTAAAAAATGTGTGAAAGGAAATGGACTGTAGAGTTATAAGTCAAGAAGTGAGTCTCAGGTTATGACTTGTGCGCTTAACGTCGGGAGAATCGATAAAAATCTAATTAAGTACACTCAAAAAGGCAATTGTACCGGAGTTTTCACATTTTTCACTTTCGACCCTCCGTGAGTCGCGACTTCATAACTTGAGCTTTGACTCCTTTGCGTTTCTGACTTGACCTCATTGAAGGCCTGTGAATATTTTACTTTATGCGAGATGATGGTAATTTTTTTTGGGTGATGGCTAATTGAAGTTAAATCTCAAGGTAAATTTCTGAGCAAGGTCGCGCATACCTTCCATATGAAGAATATCCTCTGAGGTAGATCAATTCGGCGTTTTCCACTTGAGCACTTCTCTTTGTCATTGGACTCAGGAAGTGGTGGCAATTTTTGTGGTCTTTTCGACGCTGTCTCACTAATTTTCTTATTTCCCACCCTAAACATTTGACTGTCTCTTTAATGACTTAACTATTGTGTTCACGCACTTTTCGGCTATTATTCAAGGTTTCGCCATCCTTGGAGATTATAATTAAGCAACTTAATTGTTCGGTCAAAGACTAAGCAAAACTACACGGCAGTGAGAGGATAATTTATGGATGAAGAACAAATTCATACTGAGACATCGTGGCGAAAATTGTTGGGCGCTCACCTACGAATATCTGCGTGAAAAGCTGTGTCTGAAGAAGACAACAAAAGAATACAGTCTATAAGCTCATTTGTGAATGAAGGTTTTTCTTTGTTCGCCCTCAAATTCACTTCCGCCACTCCAGAGAGAGAGCGAGAGTGAGAAGGAATTTTGCCGCACTATGGGAAAATGGCAAGAACAGCGGCTTGCAGAAAATTGGCGGCTATTTCCCGAGTCATGTTGGGGTGAATTGGGTCTCTCAACTTTGTCTAAAGGTTTTACTGTGTCACTGGAACCCTAATTAAAAGTGGGAAATATGGGGTGCTATTGAGTAACTTCAACAGGAGGTAAATCGCGTGCAAGTACTTGATTTTTCAGGGTACAACTTGAGAAATCAAAAGGGTGATTATGGGCCGCATGGCGCTTTCTCCGGCGACCACGAGATTGAGATATGCAGGGATTTGGGTCAGACGGTGACGCTTTGTGGGCAAAATTGTTTACTCACCCCGCTTCTGAGTTCCTTCGATACGCTCTCATCGACAAGATTGAGGTTTTCCCATGTCTTGGCTTCTGGTGGGCTCTGTATCTCGCCCTCATGAAACCTGTCTTTTTGACTGTCTTCGGAATTATCGCGACTTCTGGCCGGAATGGGTGACACCATAGGGCTCCTCTGGAGATTGTGCATCACTTCTATGGGCCTGTGCTCTGTCCTGGGGCTCAATAAGTCATTGGTGAAGCTGAATCGTCGAGCTTGATGCCGTGGAGATGCTGATTTGTGTCTCATGCCTCTATATCGATCAGGCGAATTTACTTGATCTGAGGGAGATGCTGAGTACTTGGGGGAGTCGAGTTTTGTGATGGTAGCCGTTCGTGGACGCTGGAGTGGAGGTTTAGTGTTGTCATTTGGAATGTTGATGCTAAGATTATTCATAAGGGATGATGAATTCGAATTAGAATTCTGTGGTGTGGATCTTCCTGACGATGGTGGTGTGGCTATTGTCATGATAACTGGACGTATTTGATCATCTCCATCACTCTGAGTCACATTATCACTGTCTGGAGTCCTCATTTTCACCACTTCTCCTCCAAAATGCACCCTTCTAGGTGTTCTTCTTGCCTCTGTCTCAAAGTCCTCCATTTTTATTTGGGACTCTGGCACTTTCGTCTCCACAATTGTCACTTCTTCCTCACTGTCTTCGGCATTTGAGTTGTTCTCCATGGAGGCTTCCATTGAGGATGGATCCGCCTCGAGAATTCTCATAGTCACAGCTGTATCTTGATTTATCTTTATCTCAGTCTCCATGATCACTTTCGATGGAGGGATGTTTTCCATGGGAATCTCTTCCATATTGCAATTTTTCACATCACCACAGCATCCCTCATCGGCAGTTGTGGGCTTTCCCGGATTCACAGCCGACATGTGATTTGTTGTCACCTTCCACTGCACCTCTTGGGATTCACTATTCACACTGCTGTCGCTGGATGGGGCTTTTGGTGTGTGCTCCCATGAGTTTTTGCTCTCACTGCTGGACGGAGCGTGCAGATCTATACCTGAATCTCGAGAGGTAGGCTCTGTGAGCCCATACACACTACAGAGGAGTTCAAAGTTCCTTCGAGCACTGTGTGGCATCACATCGTAGAAATCTTCCTGACCCACGTAATCTCTTATCTTTAAGAGAATCTTCAGAGCCACTTCCTGATAGGTTACCTGAACAGTCTTCTCCAGCAATGCCTCTACAGCTGAGCGCAAAATGTGATGTCTTTTGGGTGTGGGTTGCGTGGCTTGCACAAGAGCTGGCATGGAAAGCATTGTCCCCACCGTGAGACGTCCGCCGAAAGGATCTTCGTGCGGATGTTCCATGCCGAGATCGATGATTTCCAGGAGGACAGTTTCTGGCATCGCAGACTCGGAGATGTACACTCGCAAAGCATCGAGAGCGCCCTTTCGAACAGCTGGCGCTGAGTGACCTAAGTTCTCCACGAGAACTCCCATCAGTGGTGCCACATGCAAGTCCGCTCTCTGGCCAAGAACCAGAAGCACATCCACAAGTACCCTGAGTGCGTGTTGTCTCACTTGCCACTCTGGATCACTGAGGCGCTCATTGAACTCCCCGAAGAGATCTGTGACGCTCAGATTCGCCGGCAAATGTCCTGTTCGGATAATGTGTTCCCACAAAGGTGTCAACTGAATCACATTCAGCACTCTACCGTGATTCCTCTGATCCTCCAAGCCACCACTACTGAGTCTTCTCGCGTGGTACTTGGCCGATCCTGGGTACTTGTGGTCCAGGAAGCGAGTATTCTCGCCGGAGTCTTGAGACTGATGATGCAGAAAGCCGTTCGAGGAGGCTGGCTTTCGTGAGAAGACACGACGAAAGAACATTTTCACTGTAGTTACAAATCCATTGTACAAAGGAACACTCTTTTGGGGGGTTTTGGCTCCAAGGATCCGACCGATGCCTCAAGCTGCCAACTCGCGACTGTCTCGCGGATTCTTCGAACTGATTCAACCGGCCGAGGAGGTAGTCTTGCAAGCACACCTCCAGTTGCTTGTGTTGTTCTCTCTTGGTTTCCATGCGCACCGCGTTGGACAATTTTCAGAGGACTTTTCGTTGAGTTATACAAGGGAGATTTTTTCACTGATTTGGTGTACATTAAATGGATAAATTGTCTTATAACGAATTCGTTTTATTGAACTAGTGATTTGATTGTTGATCAAGACGATTAAGATATTGAATAAAAAAAAACTGAAAGAAAAATTGCGGAAACAGAAGTTTTAAGCATGCACAAGTGTACAATAAAGTGTACTTCTATACAAATGAGCTACTTACCTTGCATTCACTACTACAAAAGAATTGTGAAACTCATCATATTCTCAAAAGCAATGATTTCTTAGGGAACTTTTAACGCGTCAAAACAGCTTCAACCCACACCCACTTCCGAATCATTAGTGAACAATAAAACTCTGCATTTATTACTGTCGATTTTATTGATGATAATTTACATGGAAAAAGACTTCATGCTTCCTAATGATTCTTTTATACAACTCCTGTATACGCTTCTCTACTTATCATAAGAATTTTACAACAAAGAGAATATGCCAAATATATCGTCTAGACGTAAACAATTTCCTTGCACACACCTTCCAAACAGATGGATATAATTTTTCTATAATTTCATCATTCATGGCAAATTTTGACAATCTTTAACACTCTATTTTGCCTCTCTGTCTCTCTATCACTATACTTTTAAGTTAGACCTTTTTTTAAAATTATACAGCAAACATTGAGCAGTCTTTCATTTCGTTTCACCTATGATTTTGCACAATTTACAAAAGAAAGGATGTGAATTTGTTTCTGCAAAATCGAGACTTATTTTGTGTATTCTAACTAAAATGGAAGGGGAAGGGATTTCAAATTGGGGTTCCTTTCCTAGTGTGAGAAAGTAAATTAGATATATATATATATATATAATATATATATATATATATATAATTATATATATATATAATTTATAATATTATATGTGTATATATATAAACTTCCATATTATGGCAAGAAGACATCAATTGTATTTAACGATAAGTTTTTTTAAGATCTATGCTAGCAACTCTCATTACTGAACATTAATTTATATAGCACTCAGGGTATTTGATTGATGAAGAACCTTGATACAAGGCTGCACCGTTTTGCACTCTCACGCGTAATTTTTACCATTCACACACAGTTTATTGCTTAAGGACATTATATACTTTATGTGGCTACCTGACATTACTAGAACGATCCCCAATTGGGGAGAAAATTGATTGTTTGCGCTAAGCTATGTACACCTAAGATGGTTCTTGACTGTGTTATTTGGGATGGTGCCTCAGACGTCAGACGTACTCTTCGGATGGCTTCTGCATGCTGCTGGGCAGTCTGAGGGGCTGCACATGCCCATTCACGCTGTCCGGCAACTCAGCGATGTCTTTAAACACACCCATAAGGCTCTCAAAGTTCGGTCCCCAGTTCAGTAGATAGTCCCATCCGAGGGCTGTGGTGGCACTCGGTGAAGCTCCGTTAGGCTGCCGGTAGATTCCGCCCATATGCGTGGATAGGTCATCATCAGAGGCCACAAGGGTGCTCAGGGAACCTCGGAAGGATGAGTCAAACCCATCGTATGAGGGTGGAGGTATGGGCGGCTTTCCCGAACCTGTTCCACTTTCATTGCCACGCCGATCGTCATCGTCCCCAGGTTTGGTGTATTTGTCTCCGCTGAGGCTATTGTTATCGTACTCAATTTCCGAGCACGTGAAACTGTCGTTGCCACTCTCGTCCGTCGATGTGGAGCTGTGCGTATCCACGACGGGAGAGTGATGTAAATGGGCCAGATGGTGACCCGCTCCGGGTACTCGGGGTGCTTCACTGCTGCTACTCACGGCATCCAAAGTGGAGACCAGGCTACTCGTGCGCGGTCGCACATTGAGTCGCTCAATCTCTTCGGCCGTAAGGCTGCCCACGGCGGTGACATTGGGCGCTTGAGGTGGAGGCCCCGGGTTCTTGCGACTAGCACTTGAGCTCTGGCCGGACAGCTGTGACATCACAGGACTGTTGAGACTGCGCTCACTGTTGCTGTGCAGAGCGTCCTTTCCCACGCCGCCGGAACTCGACGTGGTGGCCAGCAGGGCGCTCTGCAAGGGTTTCCCCGAGATGTCATGCAACGTGAGAATTCTAGGCTGTTGCGAGCTCAGTTCTGAACTGGGCGACAGTCTGGCCAGCGGCGTGGACTGGTGCTGGCGAGGAGTGCTCGATGGCGGAGCACTGGCTGTTGGCGGCACTCTGGGCGCATACGGTCCAGCATGATGAGGTGAGTGCCTGTGCTGCTGCTGGGCAGCCGCTTGATGCTTATGGTGGGTATAGGACGCCACAGGTGGCGGTGTAGCTTTATACTTCCTCACCCCACCCGCTTCGCGATATCCCTTGTAGTGGTAAACAATATCGATGTCGGATGGCGCAATGGAACTGGCATTCTCGAGGTCATAGTGTTCAGGGAACTCAGACCCCAAGTCCACTCCTCCCGGATGATCATGAGGGTGATGCTGACTAGGAGGTGGAATTGGTGGGTGGTGTTCTTCCCTCAGTGGCGGGCTCTTGCTCACCACCTCGCGCTCAATGATGTCCGGACGCTGAGGCCTCTGGTGATCCCCGGCAGAGATTTCACGTTCCTTGTACTTCTTCGAAATGAGTTCTGGCGCAACAAGATGATGTCCTGCTACACCTCGAATCAAATCGCCATTGTCTGTATGGAAGCCCACAGTGGAATCTCCGCCATGAAGACCTCTGCCCATCACGCAATCAGCTGCTGAGGACATTCCGCCACTTCCTAGAAGTGTGGGCCCTCCATTCTGCTTGCTGTGAAGTCCACTAGGTCCACCAGGGCCGCCACTTTTCTCCTTCTGCTGCTTCCTCAGTCTAAAGACAATGAATGAGGCAAAGATCGCCACGAGAAGAATGACAAAGAACACAATAACCAGCGTTATGCCGATACTGAGTGGATCTGTGACCTGAGCAGATCCCAAGCCAATCAATCCATGACATCCTTGATACACTTTGCCACGTGTTTGCACATCGGGAAATACACTTCCAGATCCATTGAATGGCTGAATCTCATTGTTAATGGTGAAGTTGGAGAAGCAGCCCTCGAAAGGTGGTGGCACGATCTCTAGAGTCACCAGTTCTCGTCTCACTCCACCCACTGAGAGCACTGTGAGATATGGATCTAGGAAATCATGAACACCAACCGAGTCTAGTTCATCCCCAATCAGTTTTCCATCCACCAGAACATGAAGTACACGACTGAAGGTGTACAGGGTTACATTGTGCCATTTTCCATCGGCTAGATTGTCATGATGCTGATCAGTCATGTTAACTGGGGAACTCTGCTGAGAACTGTACACAAGTCGTCGATTCCTCAGCTCCACAGATGTAAAGTGTTTGTTCGTGGCTGCGAAGAGTATCAATCCATTGGGACGAAGTGTCCTGAACAGAATACTCATAGATTTAGGAGGGTCTTCGGTGAGAGCTAGTGTTGTGATGTTATTGGTGAATCTCTTCTCCCTTGAGACTTCATAGTTCCACATTGATGCTCCACTATAGAGGTTTTCGAGCAATTGCATTCGTCGATGTTTTTCGGAGATTTGGAATTCAATGAAGCCACCTTCACTTAGTGAGATGGGATCTAAGGATTGGTAGCAGTCAGGTGAGAGAAGATCTCCGCCACAGCGACACATTGCTGTATGCCAGCGATCCATGCAAGTGCCGAATGAGCCGCAGAGAGGAAGACTGGGATCACCAGGAAGACCTCGTGAACAAGGACCGCCGGTGGTTCTGCTGCATGTCGGTACAACTCCTCGGGATTTGATGGGACTGGTGAGGTTCAGAGGTCGGCCGTTTATTGAGACACTGTGGACGCATCCAATGAGATCGTCAGAATGCACTTGACCAGGACGCTCGAGCACTGGATCAGCAGACATTAGTCCTCCGATCAGCAAAGGTTGTTTGTTGAAGTTGAGCGTTCTACAAGAATGAATATAAGATAAGTAGCTGAATAAGCGTGATAATAAGTGGTTTAACTTACCCAGTCGGGCCAATATCATCAGAGTAGCAAGTGGCATCTCCTGGACGACATTCATCGCAGACATCTCCGTTTTCATCACACTTGGACACACTCAGGGACATGACCTTTTCATTTCTTGTAGCGGTAACTTTGTGCCACTTTCCATTGGACAGAGTGCCATGAGGTCCTCCCACGACCACCGATGTGATGGCTGTCCTAGCGCCGCCGAAGGAAAACACTGCCTTTCCCTTGACAATCTCCATGGCCACAAAATCTGATCGTCCTCCACTCTGATGACCATAGTTGTACACCAAAAGTGCGTCAGGCTTCGTAGTGGCGAAGATTATGCTAATGTCATTAGTAGCAGCATTCAGTGAAGGGAAGGCTAGGTAAGAAAGTTCCTTAAATCCGAACGTTGCTCTCTCACAGTGCCTTCCATAGCGACCATCAACACAGCTACACTTATATCCTGGCTTGAGGCTCACACACAGACCGCCATGTAAGCAGGGATTCGGTCTGCATGAGTCGGCAATGGTTTCACAGTTATTGCCTCGATAGCCAGGGCGGCAAAGACAGAAGAAGGACGATCCGTCAGGACTTTCTCTGCAAGATCCACCATTTTTACAAGGATTACTGGAGCACGCATCGCCTCGTTCCAGTTGACAAAACTTTCCTTCCCTGTGCGATGGACAATGGCACTGGAAATCGTAGCCTTGACGACGACACTCTCCACCTGATTGGCAAGGATTGGGTGAGCAGGGATCCTGTCTCTTGTCACACCTCGCGCCGGTGTAGCCTTCAACGCAGCGACAAGTGAAATCGTGATTTACAAGAGGCGAAGTGAAGATAAGTGCTTGGCTATCAGTAATTCTCGTTTCATCCTTTATAACAGAGATCTTCTCCGAACACACTCCGCCATTGTCACAAGTGTTTTGACCACAGGGCGTGTATCCAATGATAATATCTGAGGTTTGCAACAATTGAACCATTGCGTCACGCTTCTTGTTCAACTTTTCAATAACATAAGCTGGTGATCTATAGCCTGAATGATTTTTCACCGCTATTGTCAACTCGAGACTGCTGTTTGTGTTGCGCAGAGAATAGAGATTCAGTTCATCTCCGGAATCAATCGCACTCTTCATAAGATCCAAAAATGATCTGTAAGCCGACCCGAGAAACTTCGATGCAGATCCATTTTCTATTCTCACTGTGATGGAGTTCTCAACTGTGATGTTGTCGAAGAAGAGGAACTCCACACTTACTTTAGATTCTACATCAGCATGCCGACCGTCGTTCCCGGATACTGAGTAGGAGTAGCCCTGGCTTTGAGTCTTTGGCGTTGTGTGCAAATTACATCCATTCGGAATCTGGAGAGCAGCTGAGGAGGCGCTATGAGTGAGAATTTTACACCTATAATCGCCAACAATATCAGCATCATTTGGATGAACATCAGCAATTTTTCCCACAGGGATTCGTCCATTGAAGGCGTGCACGAGAACATGAACAACACGAGGAGTTGAAGGACTATCGTTCTCATCTCTTACCTTCACAGTTATTGCGTGTTGAGATCTCATCCTCGGCTTACCGTTGTCCTCCACCTCGACAATGAGATCTAGGACAGGAGTGGCTTCTCTGTCGAGACTCCTTGCTGTCTTCATGAGTCCGCTGTGCTTTTCCACAGTCACTAAGGACTTGTGACGACCACCAATGAGGTAGTATGTAAATGGAGCGCCATTTGGTGGCAAATCCGGATCTGTGGCAGTTAGAGTCATCACACTTGTTCCAGCAGGTTCATTTTCCGTGACATATCCAACAACGTCAGCCGGATCGAAGATTGGCCCATTGTCGTTAATATCACTTACGGAGATGTGAACCATCGCGGTGCCAGTTTGTGGTGGAATTCCTGTATCAATGGCGCCAACTGTAAGAGAGTATTCAGGTGTTGATTCTCTATCCAATTTTCTAGAGGTTTCAATTTGACCAGTCTGGGGATCAACTTTGAAGGACTGATCGCTGTTTCCACCGATGATTGAGTAGCTGAATTGGTTATTCTGCGGTCGAATATCCTTATCAACAGCCTTTACAGTGACAACTTTAGTGCCAATTTGAGCACCTTCGGACACATTAGCCTCATAAGTGGCCACAACAAACTCCGGGGGATCATTGCCATCCTGAATCGATATAATTACTTGAGCCTCATCTGTGTCATTGCCACGAATACCGCCAAAATTCTTGGCCATAACTGTAAGGACAACTCGACTTTGTGTCTCCCGATCGAGATTTCTCGCCACATACATAACTCCAGTCTCGGGATGAATACCAAATCCTTTGTCATTGCTAGAGCCAACCAAGAGGTAGTACACTTTTCCATCGTTTCCTGAATCCTTGTCCGTAGCTTCAATGACTCCAACACTGGTGCCAACTTCTGCAGACTCAGAGACGTCGAAGTGAAATACTGGCTGGATAAATCTCGGGTAGAATTCATTAACTCCCGTGATGTGGACAATCACCTTTACCCTGTTCGACATTGGTGAATCTGGATTAGCTGCCATGATGTCCAACGTGTAGAGATTCTCTTCCTCATAGTCAAAGCTTGCTTTAGATTTGATAATGCCCAGGGATTGATCAATAAAGAACAAGTCCTTTCCACTGCCGCCAACAATCGTGTATAGAATCACGGCGTTCTTTGGTGAATCCCGATCTGTGGCAGCGGCTCTGTAGACAAAACTATTGCGAGGGGAATTTTCCGGGAGGTGCGCATGATACTCGGTCTGGTTGAACATTGGAGCATTGTCATTGATATCCGTTAGAGTTACTGTGAGCATTGCAACAGCACTCTTGGACTTGAAACCCAAGTCTTCAGCGGTTATATTTAGATGGTATTCCTGCACTACATCATAGTCCAGAGACTGGAGAATGGTAACAGCTCCAGAAGTTGGATGCACATCGAACTCCTTACGCTCATTACCTCCAGAGATGGAGTAGCGAACCATGCCGTTGGGACCGTCGTCATTGTCTGAGGCACTCACGATGAGAATTGTGGAGCCCGTGGGTTCATTCTCAGGCACAATCACCTGGTAACTAAGTGCCGTGAAGACGGGAGCAAAGCGATTCTCCCCTGTTACTACAACTGTGACTGTGGTCTCATCTTGCTGGGGTGGAACACCTCTGTCCACTGCTCGGATGTGCAGGGCAAAAACTCTGCTCAGTAGATTTTGCAAAGGCTTTAGCACTGTGATCCATCCATTTTGCTTGTTGATGCCGAAATTCTTCGTGCCATTTCCGCCAATTATTGCATAATCCACTTCAGCATTGATGCCAAAGTCTAACTCATCCCTGGCGGTAACTTGAACCACTCTCTGGCCAATCTGAGCGTCCTCAGGAACTGGAGACAAGTATTCATTCTGTTCGAATCGCGGAGGATTGTTATTGGCATCCACCACATTGATGTTCACCAGGCATTCTGAATACATTGGCGGTTTGCCATTGTCCGTGGCGAGCACCGTAAGGGAGTACATGTTCTCAGGCGAAGCCTCCATTTGCGTGTGTCTATAATGGATAGTCCTCTTGCTGAACACATCTCCAGTTGCAGGATCAATACTGAACAAGTCAGAAGGCTGTTGCAATGAATACGAGATTACTGAATTCGGCCCTTGCTTATCTCTGTCCGTGGCAGTGACTTGACCTACAAAAGCCACCGCTCTCTGAAGCTCCGGAAAGTTGAAGCTGTAATAGCTGTGCTCAAATTCCGGCGCATTGTCATTCTGATCCTGAATTGTGATCGTAAGTGGAGTCTCTGCACGCCAAGCACCGTCCACAGCTGCCACTTTCAGGAGATATTCATCCTGTTGCTCTCGATCTAAGTGGCCAGTTACCGTAACATTTCCCGAAATGGCATCAATAGAGAACTTATTTCCTGGATTCTCAGTAAAGCTATAAGTAGCATTTGCATTGATGCCAGTATCGAGATCTGAGGATGTGACCTTAATCACAAAAGATCCAATCTCTGCATTCTCAGTCACATTGACACTGAAGAGTCGCGTGAATCGAGGAGGATTATCATTCTTATCCAAAATTGTGACCAAAACTGTTGCACTTCCCGTGAGTTGAGGCATTCCTTGGTCCACAGCTTCAACTGTGAGCTCGAAGAGGGATACTTCCTCGCGATCAAGACGCATGTTGGTATAAATCTCACCAGTGTCTGAATCGATTTCAAAGGCTCCTTCAAAATCATTGCTGAGACGATAAGTTACTTGACCATTCTCATCAGAATCTGCGTCTTTGGCACTGACTTGAACCACAGTCAAGGGCGGAGCTTCTTCTTCCATCACTTCGCTATGGTAGATCATTTTGTCCATGACTGGTGCGTTATCATTAGTGTCCGTGACGTTAATCAGAAGCCGGATAACGCTTCTCAACGATGGTCTGTCGGAATCCGCAGCCTCTATCCACACTTCGTACTGCTGCAGTGTTTCATAGTCAAGTCCTCCCTTGCCGACGGTCACTTCTCCCGTGCTGGGATCAATCTTGAGAGCATCCTTTGTATTTCCACCAGCAATGGCATACTTGATACTTCCTGCTGGACCCTTCTTCGGCGAAGTCGCTGATATCTTCGTGATCATCTTTCCCTCAGCCACATCCTCAGGCATTACGAATTGCGTCTCCGCCATGTAGGAAAATGTGGGGAAGAGATGTGCTGGTTTCAGGAGGATTGTGAGTTCTGAGGTGGCGAATCTGGGTTCAGCCCCCTGATCTTCCGCCTTCACAATCAAACTATACACTTTATCGATGCCCTGGCCATTCAGTGAAAGCTCCTCGAATGTTTTGATAACGCCAGTGTTGGCGTTAATGACAAACTTATCCATATCTTTGCCGTTGATAGAGTACACTATCCTGCTATTGGCGCCCTCATCCAAGTCAACAGCGCGGGCGCCGAAGACAAATTGCTGCGCCTTAATGCGATCCGGCACGTTGACATTGAAAGAAGGTGACTCGAACATGGGGGTGTTGTCATTAACATCAGCCACGGCGACTGTGAGATTCACCGCCGTGGCCCTGGGCTCCGTTGCTGAGCTGTCCTGCGCCATAAGGGTTAAGTGATAAATGGATGTGTCTTCGCGATCGAGGATTTGGGCAGTGGTGATCTCGCCAGTCGCTTGATTCACGTGAAATCTCTCCACCTTCTCGCCCAGCAAGCTGAATCGGATCTTTCCGTTGAGTCCAGCATCTCTGTCCGTTGCCTTAGGCTGCAGAACTTTTGTACCCGACGGTTGATTCTCCATGACTGTGGTTCGGTAGGATTGTCTCGCAAACTCTGGACTATGATCATTCATATCCTGGACAATCACTCGCACAGTTCCCGTGCCGGTGAGTGGGGGAGATCCTACAAAAAAAGAGAGGGATGCATATCAATAATCTCTCCCATGACCTCTGCTTACCAAGATACGAAAAACAAAAACCGTTCGAGTGAGATAGAACTTCTAAGCATGACTCGCGATGAATAATCTCTTGCGTAGATCCACTTTTTCTTCGGCTATTTATCAACATGAGAGATGATCTTTGCGCGAAAATGCATGAAAAGTTGCCACGGTGCACTTTCCACCCTCTTCCCACGCTCTGCAAGAACTTTCTCAATTGTTTTATTGTCTCCAGGAGACCTTCAGCAAATCATGCCGCCTTAAAATATCACTCCATGGGGAGGAAGACAGAGAGAAATGGCAATAATTCTGCCATAGGAAATATCGCTGTGCCGAAAGAGAGGCAGTGGAAAATGGCTGTATTTCTGCATACAACAATGTCCGCATATATGCAAAGGGTTATCAGCTCAAGATAAATTTCCACGATTCACAGTGAGTCCACAACATGAAATCTATCTTTTGGAATTATTACTTCTCTGTGGCACTTTTTCCATAAATATACCTGCGCCGGCAAATATTATTGGGGAAAGAGAGAGAGATACAGTCAAACTATTAAGAGCCCCATGAGTCCCCATTATTCTCATTGGGATACACACCAAAACATATTACAGTAATGCTCACTGCAATCCATTCACCTTCTCCATCTCTTTTTTCACATGCTACTTCTTGCTGTATCTCAACCGCCTTTCGACTCTCTTGTGCATAAGCAAGGAATTTTCTAATATGAGTCCATGCCAAATTTTTCCTACACAGTTTGCATACACTTTAAAGATGTGCCTGTGATTTTTACTTCTACCCTTTTTCACCTCAGAAAACTGCCTTTTATTGAGTGTATTTGGTATGAGGAGAGATAAAATACACTCATCAGAACAACAGCGGAGATTTGAGATAACCTTTGGGTTCTTTGCCACTTTTCAAACTTGCTCCACAGCATCTCTAAACTCAACGTAGAATATGTGTAAAATGGTGGAGAGAACGATGAAAACTTGTGGAGCATTCCGTACAAAGTCGCTACTTTGAATTCATGTAACAAAGGATAACTGAGAGTATGAAGACTGACATAGACTTGTGGTTAAAACCTTGTTTGCAGTGTGACAAATATCTAAAATGAGTACTCATGTGATAACTTGAAGTCATTTGAAGTATTTTTTATATTAACTTTAGACGACTAGAGTGAACTTCCGACTAATTAACTTTTTTTTTTTAATATGAATGAGAATATTTTGTGGAATCATGACCGATTTTGAAACTGTAGAATTTATGTACTTTATCAACCAAAATTGTGTTATTCTCCATTACCAAGCGCTTAACTACCCACTAATGGAGTCCTTAGCAACGCGTGATCACTCGCCATCCTTCTTCCCATGGCAAAGGGGGGGGAGTACAAAGAGGCAGAGCGCAGAAGAGTATTGACGCGCGAAAAAGTGGATACGGGTCAATAATTTACATTGTATGATGTGTCTGGAGGTGGGACGGATAATAGGCTCTTGCCAGGAACACAGCCGATAATTGTGGGCATATTCACACGCGCAAACCGATCGATTGATGGTGTGCGCCCCATTGCAAAGGCTGTGACTTATAAAGAATCGTTGGCGATTTATCTATTGTCAACTGACTAATATTTTAATCCCTCGGAGCACTTTTGTGTCGTGCCAGCGAGTGCTTTTTCGCGATGCCCTCTGCACGCGGTGATATGCTGTGAAGGTGGATGGGAAAGAAGGTATTGGTTTTCTTTCTGAAAACCGAAACAATTTTCTCGTGAAATCTCAGACTCGCCAACAGTCTCTCTTCTTCTGGATTGCTGCCAATGGAAAGACAAAAGGGCGCAAGCAATGTAGGCTATATAAAGCCGTGTGTATCGTCAAAAACATAGTCTTTTATCGTGTTATCGATCGCATTGAACTTGCTGCAACTAACATTTTCATACTGTTACCCGGGGGTATAAAAATTGCTCTCTCGCGAGAGAGCATCAAGAGCACAAAATATCGATAGTTATTGCCTTTGTGCGGCTGGAAAGCTCGCGCGAGTGAGATAAAAAGAAAATCGTCGTTTTTATATAAAATGCGTGAGTGCACGTCTCTTGGGTTGCATCCAATGAGACGACCTCAAGGATCGATAAAAGAGGCCTTCCGATCCCCAGCCACGATTTCATGCACACCATGCTGATTTATGTTAAAATTTTTCACTCTGATGAACTAAATAGTGAGACAGCTGGAGGGCGATTGTGTCAGGGGCGGCGGAGGGAGAGACTTCTCATGTTCTTCCAGTAGTTGAGCATAGAGTATGGGATGTGCAGAGTGGTTGGGTAGAGAGACTGAGCGAGAGAAGTGGAAAAAAGGCCATCGAAAATGATGAGATGTGGAAAAAAGGTTGATTGAAGACAACCGAAAAACGACAAATTGCCAATCGTAAATTGGTTGCACGCGCAGATGTCTCAAGATGCCCAAGAATAAATGGTGCGGAATCCAAGTCAGTCCCAGGGCGGTGATCGATAGTAATCTCGAGCGAGATCATCAATATTCAACAGAAGCCCCCGAAACTACCAAGCAAAAATGTCACTGGGAAAATCTAAAATGTCTATCTTGGGGTATAATTCAATCAATAAATTTGACATCTAATTTTGTTTACACATCCGACTCCCGATTAATTGATCAAAGAGTCACGATGGATGATCTGCACGGATCGCAACACCGATCATCTCGATCGCGTTACCTTTTTTGGGAGAGGGGGGGGGGGGGGTAGGGGAAGAGAGAGAGAGAGAAAGAGACACGCATACAATTCAGGAATTGTTTTCCTCTGGCAAGTACGACTAAATTTATCTTTTCAATCTTTCTTCGGCGAAGACGCCGAGGATCGATAAGGCGAAGCATCGATCACAGTCATATTTGTATTTATCTAATGGCGCGATTTTTCGGCGCTTCATAGAGAATGTTTGAGGCAAGAGTTTTTTCATCGCGCTGTGTGTTTTTTCATCCATTACAAGGCAGCATTCAATCGTGTCAGATTTAAACACGAGATGATGGTTCTTGTTCTGTTATATAGAACTGCTGGAATGCTGTCTTAACGAGCCAATCAAGCGGCGTTTAATGTAAACATTTATCAAATCATTTTGTACGTTACACAAATACTCGTGCACAGATCATTGATTTCATCATTTGGGCGCTCGGGATTTTTGTATACAATTTACAATTTTTCGATCATTTGTTCCTTCAACCCGAAAAAGGGCAACCGCACTCGATCACCCTCGAGATGGAAGGAAATCGAGACGCCATCGTACACTAATTGCACCACATTTAACATTTTCTTAGAATTTAGCGGCATGTGATAAATTGGGGCTTTTTGTCGAAAAACTCTGCGCGGTGATCTTGATCGGTGGACAAACTGCTCTTGTACAGTTAATTTAACAATTGCCGTAAAGTAGAACATGGGAATTTCCTATACAATTAAATTTTCTGCCAAATGAGATGAATTTGCTAGATCATTTTCTGTAATTTGTCTTCCTTTTCAATCATCGCGCACACAAATATTTTGTGTACTGCGAACAGAAGACTTTATCGCGACAGAAGACGAACTTGTATTCTTTTTTCTTCTAATTTCTCGCTGCCAGTATTAATTTATTTTCAATGTTCAATCGACATTATTATATTCTACATAGAAATCATGGGGCCAGAGGAACAATTTTACTCGAGAAGTATAGAGAATGTTTGTAAGCAAATAACAGGGAATTGTGCGATTTTATAGACTCATTGGAACATAGCAGTGCTCACAATCAGCAGAAAATCGAAGAAGACAATCATGGGAAACAATAAGCATACAGTTTCACTGCAGCGGAATGTCATCTTATTATTATTATAGTTGCATAAGTTCCGAGATCGAGACATGGAAAAAAAACATCAAAATCGCTAAATGTTTCCGTCAGTCTCAATGTGCGGACAAAAATCTCTCACACAGAAAACGCTCAATTCACCCTCTTTTGCCCTTTTCCAGTCAGCCTTCTTTTATAGCCATAAACACACTCAGTCTGAAGACTTGAAGACGTCACAATTTCGACCAGAACATTCAACAACAGAAAATTGTTGTGACAGAAGTGGAGAGTATTGAAGCAAACAAAAAATATGTATACAAGTTGCTGAATGAGCGGCCAATTCTGTTGATGCAGACTGAGTGTACATCGCGGCTCTCATGGAACTTAAGAGCACACACTGAGGGAGGCACCCACGAGAGATTTGCCTCAATCTGCACTCTAAACGGCAAGTTATACCTTTATAATAAGAACAGCAATATTGTGTCAGGTCACAAGTTGAAATCAGAAAATGCCTCACGACAATCTCATGCCTCCCTTCGTGCCGTCCCTTTTCGTCTCACCTCGAGTGGTTGCATAAATAACGAAAATATTTTGTTCGATTGTTTTATTAAATCGATAATATAATAAGTATTTTTATTGCCATTTCCCCTCGCTGGGTTCCCGATGTCGATGACTCTCGGGATACCAGCGACAAAATCCCAACATGAGGCATTCTGGGCATTACTCAGCCCAGTGTGCAATTTAATAAGAGTGTGCAACAAGTATTTCACATTGACTCACAGCAATTGCTTATTGATGGTATGTATGAGATAGTTATATTGCTAAATGAGGGACTTTTTGGGATATAACATAAATTCACCAATGCGAAAGTATAGTGGGAAAAAAGGAGTTGCTTGAGAGGAGAAAATTACCCAAAATTTGGTAAAATCATTTTCCCAGCCGCGATCCCAAAGAAAGTATGGGAAAGTCCCCCGTAAAGCCACCATCAGTGGGTTCTCAGGGAGACAAAGAGAACGCCAGGGACCCCCAGAAGCTTCGTGAGGGGGCTAATGACCAAAGTATGCGGTATGGCTTTTCCTCCGGACTCCCAACACTCACTTGGATGAGGATGAAAGGGCGTGTCGACGGACGCCGATACCCCGACCATGCACTCGTGAAACC